TGAATCAATGGCGCATCATAGAATAGAAAATACTTATGAGCACATATAGGGTAACTGCCCTAAAGGTCGAAAACGACGGTAACGTACACCGTAGCCTTTCTCGAACGTCCAAAATAATGGCATAATAACTTACAAAAATGTTGCATTTTACAGAACGAATTCACCATGTGTAGTTATGTATGAAATTCATCAAAGACACGCATATAGGCAAGTGTACGAAAATGGTCTACCTTAATGCAATACGTATACGTTTCTTTGTTATCTATTATTACCTATGTGAGATAAACCATTCAAACCGAGTACCAATAGTAACCGATATTACGTTTGAAACATACATATGTATAGGACAGTAACGCGAGAGACACATCACTGGTAATAAGGAACCAGGAGTTAGTAGGCACGAGAGTGTCTTTTCTAGCCTGCAAAGGTAGTTTTTGGAAAACAACAACGCATGCATTACCATACTTATACCGACGACGGTTTCCCTTTTGCTTAAAAAAAGCCGTCTATTTTTTCCTACCTATTTAATTCTTAATGAAAAAATTGATAAACAACAAACATTTCAGCGTATACATATTTACTATGGTCACGTCTTCCTGCTTAATGCGACTCGTACGGTTAACTTATAAAAAACATACTCTACATACATAATAACTCTTCTTTCAATCGTGCTAGGATGCTTACTAAAAACTGTCAATTGGTACATTTGTTTTTTGTACCTTCACAGTCTGACTCGAAAATTACAAACTCCGCAGTCAATACAGGCAATGATAACTGTGCTACTGACTGTAGATCTTTTTGGTGCAGTTCATATTCTAAAAACCTCCCTTGGCTTAATAAAGGCATACTCGTACTTAAATAATTCCGTACTGTTACGCAGTTTCTATACTAAATTAGTTGTTAGAGACTAGTGTAATTTGTACCCAGACTGCTTCTGAAGGGGACCTTGCCCCTTGAAATTTATGCCTTAAAATGGACACACCTAGAACAGCTTTAGCTTTGTATTGTAATCACAAAGGAATGAATCTTTTATATAATATTATTTATTATACCTAATATAAGAATTGTAGGTACTATGAATAATCCAATGTGTCATTCATCTACTGAATTATTTTCTGATATTAACAGAGAGATCAGCTAACTTGAAACTGATGAGAAATTTTAATAAGTGATTCTCATAGCGACCTGATACGTGGCTGTATCTCATAATCGAAGTGAGTTAACGCCGTCGACCATCAAAGATAATTGATAGACTTTTCCTTTACAAGTACTAGAAACCTGAAACGTTTTTTGACAGTTAGTTTTCATATTTCTAGCCGACCCGGGGGTAGAGATAAGCCTGCTTGTACTCGATCACAAAAGGAACACCTGGTCTTTGCTTAGCTCATAAGGATCATTTGGTTATATGTTTGGTACGTCACGTCCTTTTATTCAAGTCATAATAAATTAGTAAAATTAGATTTTTCCAACAAATCAATCTGAAGAGTGTCGTTGTTTTAATTTAAATTTGCGGTAAAGAGTTTGGTATTTTCAAGACCTTTATTCTGCCAACCTCTCTATCTTTCTCTCTCATAGAGTCTACATTTCAGACACGAAAAAGTTCCGCAACTAAAGGATACTACTAGGGTGCTTGAGTATAATAGAATTTATTCCCAATAAGGCACTTGTTACGTGCACTAGTTCAAAAGTAAGTAATAACAACTGATGTTGCTTGTTTTACTGATTCCTTGTTATTTCAACATCAAGAATCGGTGTAGGTTGCACATTAAATGCGTTGGGTCTAAAATTGGGCCCAGTAGAAAAGATATACAGTCTGACTTTTTTGTATTAGATAGAGGCATATTTTATTATCAACCTGCTATTCGGCTCAACAGCGTCACATAAAAATACAAAATTCTGTGCACATGTGTTCCCAATTGAAACGGTTTCTCTGTCTAGTAATGCGATATGGTTATTTTCAAAAAGTTTTTCTCTAAGCAGCCTTTCATTATCCTAGTACCTACAAAACTAAAACTTTCCTTGGTGGAAAAATGTATAGTTGTCAACAATACGCTGTACAAAACCGGATCTGCCGGAGTCACCACCGTGCGTGCCCACCACCATGAGGATGATTCGTCAAAACAGCTTCATTAGCATTTTCTGGGGCAGGCTCTTATCCTTTGCAAAAAATTCAGTTAAGCATATGAGCCTATAAGCCGGAATGGTTTGTAAGATATTGACCGTAACAAAGAATCACATTTTAGTTTCAGAAGCCACAGAGAAGTATGAACAACGATTACTGAAGGCGATGCCTAATGACTCATAGTAATTTTGAGCAGCACATTTTGTTATTTTGGATGTAGGAAATAATAAAAAGTGGCGAGGAGTTTTAAGTGTAGCTGTGTTGCAAGCGGAGGGTTTACTACATAGTTTCTGCGTTTAATTGAATGAACAAACAATGTTCTATGGTTACTTCTAAATATCTGACAAGCTGTTCAAGTTTCGATCTTTGAAACGGTAAGGTAGGTTTCTTTATTTCCAAGCTTCAAGTATAAGCAGACTTAGTTAATTCAAAGATTATCTAAATGGCATTATGTTAGACAACGTAGTATTCGAATGTTTAGAATATGCCCTGCCTCAAACCACAAAGCTTATCGCTTTATTATCGGTTAAAGAAGGAATTTACCAAAGTGCAGAAATGTGCGTTCGAGGAAAAGCGGATAAAATAGTAGTATCAGTATACCATATCAGACGAAACTTAAGGGAACGGCTATCCTAGTCTAATCTCTGTGCAAGTACCAAATCAAGATATCTTTCTGGTAAATTCAGCTGAACGACGATTACATTAAGGTTGACCGAATTACTTCGTATGTCGAACGAACTTAACACTTAAAAATCCTAAAAATGATACCTTTTGTGTTGGAAAAGTTTATACAGAGGCACGATGCATCATAGCTATATATATATATAATGTTTATTCTCAAAGTTACAGATATCGGCGCTGGGAGACAATTTGCGAATCTATTTCGTGAAAGTGAAACCAGCTGTAAATTAAATAGAATGTAGCATATTCTTTTGGACCTCGTGTAAAGAAGCAGGGTATATGTATAAAGCATAAACATAAATGTCTAGCTTTATTAAATTAGAGAATGACTGCTCATATAAGTTTTCAGTAATTATTTTTATAAGGGCATCCTCCAGGACGTTAATTAGGGGCGCGTTGCTTCTTCCACGGGAACGGGTTATATCATTATAGAAATAACCGAGAGCCGAATGACAAAAACCGCCACGTCCGCAAACGAAGAAAATCATATTTGGAGAAATCTATAAATAAAAAATGTGGCCCTCGAACGCGCATCTTTCTAGGAGTATCGTATAGAATCGACTGATGGTTATTGATCGATAGTTTGATGAACTATCATACTCGAAATCAACTTTTGCGAAAAAGAAAACAAATAATCAAGCTATTTTGTTAGTGCTTCGAGTCATCTCATCGCACTGGATGGTGCTTGGTGGACAGAGCTATTAAAAGTATAGCCGCAAGATATACTGACGAGGCGCTGTAACGGCTTTGCGTCAAATCGCGACCGACATCTGACTAGCTTTTTTCCTTTGAGGATCTTAATTTGTGCTTTCTTATGATATTGATCGGATTTTATTAGGGATATATCTCTCTATTAATTATAGAAAATATTCCTAGAACGACAAAGCTGCGGCGGAAAAGTGCCTGGAACGGGTTATTTGTAACGAATGAAACTTTCTGCTGGAAAAGCAGTATTGTAAATACCACCTGGACTAGTAGTTAAAAAAATTGGTTGCTGAATCCATCTCTTTAAATTAGTAAATTGGTGGCCTATGAAGGAAAGAAAAGTTTTAAAGTAGCAATGAAACTTATTGTGACTAGAAATTTTTCTAGAACTTCCAAGGTTGGCTTCGGGCCGTTGGCAAAAAATTACCGTTGCATCAACAAATATGGTCCAAGAAGGCATGATATGGCATAGCGGCTGCGATAACCTCAATCACAGGCGCGCTGACCAGCAGAAGTATTTGATGTATATTTTTCAGGCTTTTTCCTCATCACGTTAGTAAGTACAAACAGTGCGCCTCTAAAAAACATAGCTGAAGACTTTCCATTTATAACTAGAATATGCTTATCCGTACAATGAATGGCAATTACGAATAAATTTTAAGACTTAATTATATTGGCGAGAAATCCAATAGTTGTGTAACAGTTCCGATAATGGTTGGAGAGGGTTCTGAAAGTAATATATCCAGTAGATGGACGGCCCAAACAGCCCTTTGTCACTTAAACATATTCATCAGGCGATGAAAAGTATTTGGCGGACTGCACCGCAGAAAAGTCAATCCTAGATATGGATTTCCGCGTTTAGATAAAAGATTTTCCTTAACTCTTACGCATTTCAACAAATATATATATATATATATATATATATATAGGTCTTTTTGCTTCTGCTTTAGTAGTTGCTTTATTGCACTTATGATATTTTATTCATGATATAGACTGGGCCACAAGTGAGAATCAGCAGGACAACCATATCGACTGCGCAACTCTTCGCCGCAGATTATGAGAACTTCTATTTCTTTGCAGTCCGTTGAAACGTTTAAAAAAATGTTTAAATGATCTTCTATCAGCCCAACTACAGCACTGCGCTGTACCTAATGATTATCAAAATATGAGATCAGTCTTGGTAGAGATTAAAACCTGAAAAGAATGGCCATACCTCTTTTGCCACTTGTGGAGTACAATTTGGTGCCATCTTTGATCCCCATTTTCGCCCGTACAAGCATCTGTCATTGTGTATTGAGCGATATTGTACATGCAGTAGAAGACGAGTGTGTTCCTAGATAAGGATCTATGATATTACTATAATTATTGCATTGTTCCCTGGTAAACTCAAAAAACAAAATCATAATGTGAAAAGTCACTAACTAAAAGTTACTACAGTAACAATTATTACACTGCCTCTATTAACATATTTAGTTAAAATTATGAAAACATATTAGCGTTGGTATTTTTCTTTTATTTTAAATTAACAATAATATTAATTACGCCTTCTTCTTGTGAAGCAAGTCAAGACCGTATGTGTGCACGGGACTAACTCCGTATCCATGACCATACATGGAAGCTCCGATCCCATAGTGCGCTACGATGGCAGCGCTCTTTATTGGAACAACGGGAGCTACCTGCAAAACGAATAGAGAGAAATAGCTTGCACTTTTCTCGATCTTCGCTACATATTTTTACGAAAATAGATTATAACCAAGCACATGTGCACCTGATTGTGGGTACAAGCCATTTGTAGAATTATTGCTAAATTCAAATACGAATTAGAGAATTTTCCGTACCATTACTAAGCCAAAGGTAAACTAATGTATCGAAATTTAAAAAATACTTTTAATTCTAATGCACATGTCCATAATATTTTGTCCTTCGCAAACGTCCGTCAATATTACTTTGCATTATCATTTATGCTATAAAAGTTACGAGTATTATCATCATCATCATCAGTGCATATCTCTTTACTGTTATTAAATAATGTCACCTTTGCAAAAGGCGTAATCGCAGGTATGATAGCGGGAGCAATAGCCACTGATTTGACAACAGGCGCGGCAAAGACAGGGGCAGCGATGGTCGTCCTTACGACTGGAGCGTACCCAAAACCATAACCATAGCCACCGTAGCCAAGGCCAAGGCCATATCCATATCCGAAATCCTTATAGCCGAGGCCGTAGCCAGTGTGTCCGAGACCATAGCCAAGGCTATACCCGCCAATGCCGTACCCTAAGCCGATACCGTATTCAAAGATGTATCCAGGCCCGTACCCGCCGAGATAGCCAGCCGAGGCGGCAGCTAGTATTCCAAAAAAGGCTAATACCTAATAGGAACGACGTCATGTTCAATCAGAAGTTAACGAATCATTTCTGTATATGACAGACAGCAACCGAAAATGGCCTTTGTAATTATGGTAATAAGGCACTATCATTATAACAGCAAGAACAAACTGGCGCTAACAATAATGCTACGATCAGCTAGCTCGACATCAGCATAGTTCGCTTACCAGTAAAATGAACAACATAACGCTTCTTATGTAAAATTCATAGGCGAAAAGTTTGCTTCTTTAATTAGTAACGAAAAATGTAGAAATACTTTTTAGCCATGTAATGGCAATCTTAAATGATCGCGATGAAAGCTCACTTGCAATCGGGGAATTTTATTCTATGAGCTACATGCGTCATGCATATTATTTAACAAACTCTACTTAGGTCGCGATAGAGATTAGTGTTTGTCCTTTGCGTGAAAACATGCGATACTTGCGCATATCGACGCTATGCAGACACACTACTCAGACTTACGATCTTCATGGTGTGATCGCTGGCGGTAAAAGACACCATGTTAAAGTGAGGTAATGGCTTTTATATCGCCGCAAGAGTTCCGACCTTGACGAACTGCCGTCCTTGTAGCAGCATGGTACACACTCACCCATCAAGAGATACACGCACACATTCACACACACGCTCAGGCAATCTCCAATTTTCACCCGTCAGCACCCAGTTTCTATAATATAATACATGACACCAATTGCCATACCCATTAAAGCGGCTAGTCAGTGGTCAGTGCTCCCCACTTCTGTCGTTTTAGCACTAATATGGCCAATGAATATAGTTTTACAGCAGCCACACAGATCCTACCATACCGTTACACAGACGCCAACGAAAGGCTACTAGGATCTGGACTCACATCAAATCTAACCAAAATTAATTCGTCATCGTCTAACCAAAACATGAAGTGTATGAGATATGAAATCTCTTCACTCTCCCCGTATGGTTGCCCCACTGATAAACCGATTCCTGTCACTCTTGACTAGATACCAAATTTTTTTTTAGACGTATGTTTATATATACAGTATCAAACGAATTGTATAATAAGTTGCCGTTGATTATATGTGTTCTTGGTATATTTGCTATCTACACTTGCTTTTATAGATCTCGGAAAGTTTCGCTGCTTCCCTATTTCGATTGATATGAGTTCCAGAAATTTTGCCTATAAATGTGTTTCATTTATTGAGAAAAAAACACCGCTGTTATTTGTAATAGGAGCTCAAAGAAATTTCAACAAACACTATCAGCTGTTGATTCTATTGACGATTCTCACATATTCTCATTCATTTTAAAGTATTTTGATAAAAATCTCTATATTTGTCACAGATGTAGTTAGCCCATTGTTAACACTCACTTTATGAGTCCACAATGCATTTGTCATAGACGCGCCTTAGGTTTGGGCTTTAGTGCTTTAATACTAAATCAATCATAGTCTCATTTTTCAGTAAATCTTTTGAATGAATCACATCTGCAGCGTTCCTCCGGCCTGCTACCGACATCGTCATAATTAACATACCTTCGACATCATACGATGTTCTAAGTTCGAAATAAAATTTCAACCAAATGAGACCTGTATCTAGATTCAATTCTGCGTAAGACCGAAAGTTGCTTCATACCTTTTGGTTCGACATCTGACTGGCATAGATCAATGACATGGAATTCGTACACTGTAATATTCATATTCTTATTCTTGTAGATAGAAAAACTTGTAATAGAAAGGTACACGACGCATTTTTCTTAACTTCATTCAAGTATGTTCAATAACAATTAAGTATAATCAAGAAGGGAACTCTTAGATCTTTATTTATATCCAGTTTATCTAAAGACTAATCCTAATTGTTGTAGTTTTGCTAAAACTCCTTAAGCCAAAGAGCATTGTTCTGCGTTTGTGCGCCGCTAGTTATGTTGCCGCAACGGCCAAGAAGTTATTTAACTTTTTTGTACCATGCTATAACTTGCTTGTATAGATGGGCATATACATCATACTATTCGCGTGTATTACGAGCTTCACAAAGCCGCATTTTTTTTACCTAACCAATAAACAAGATAGATTGAAGAAACTTTTTACGATTGTACATCGCGAATCTAGAAAATACATCACTTTAACACAGAAGACTTGGTTTCCTAAAGTGTTTTATATCATATTTGATTAACTCTTTCACCAGTCCTTAGTATGCAATGCCTATACCAATAAATCATGAGACATACATTCAAAACCACAGCACATGGGATCTGTATGTATACCGAAGCTTGTCCACAGATTTACGTCGTTAATAAATACTAAAAGATAGTCTATAGTACTCCTCAAGCGAGTTGCTGTTCTGAGATCATTCCTTGCAGTTCACCATTTTATAAGATTCTCTGATAAATAGTTTTTTCGAATGTTACACCCGATAACTTATTATTTGGATTCGTCGTCTTTCCTGGCTTAGGTACCGGAGCGATTCATGTCTGCAAAGGCTGCCATTCTCTGATTCGAAGCTTCTTACCGTCCCCTTATAATATATTGAATTAGGTTAATTTAGGCGTACTTAAAAGCGTTTGGACTGTAGCTTACATATGTAATGAATTTGTGTAGCGGAATCTCACCAGCGACTTTTGTAGCTTAACATTTAAAAAACCTTTTGGAATATAAAACGTTTATTTAATTACAAAATTTGTCGATAATCAGTGTACCTGGTCCTATATGCCCCCACCTTTAACTTATCAACTATGAAGCTATTTTAATATCCTTTGCTATATGAATCTGTGCACTTTCGTGGCTACTATACCAAGAAAAAAGCCAGCTCGAAAATAAGCATAGCAATAGCAAACCAGCCTTGATCTTTTTAATATTAAACAAACGACCGTGAAAAAGAAGACATTGATTGGAAATATTGGACCTGCGTTTGTGGAACGTGCGTAATATAACCTAAATCGACTCTGTTGATTTCGGTAGCAGAAATGTGCGTAACATGCTTTATTTTCGGTCGACCGATTGCATTTTCAAAAAGCTTTGAATATCCATTACAGTGCCTGTGTTTAAAAACGAACAGTGGAGAGGAGTGATATAATGTGTCCTCCGGACCCGTATTTTAAGTCTTCAGTTGTTATTATTATAAGATAAACGTACTAAAAAACATGCAGTTACGTTCAGCTCTTGAGAGAGTACGATAAGTATATACTGGTAATTTTGGTAATTTGCTTTTACCGTATAGTCAGGATAATAGTAAATAAAACTAATCGCCTTATCCACTTTTGTGCCAGTTGTAAAAGCATTACCGTCTCTATCATCATATATAATAGATCTTACCTATTTACGCTTTATGATTCATCCGGATTCTTAAATGTCTGTCAAATTTGGCAAATCAAAAAGCGAATTATATGATACAACAAACACTCTTAACTTAAAGATCAGTTTAACCTAAGTGCGTTTGACTATCTGGTTTAACAAAATATGCATAGTATTTGAAAGTTGCCTCTTGTTAGCGTTTTGAGTTAATACATTTCGGCTTTTTTTTTTATTTTCGAGGCGGCCTTTTTAGGTCAGTTTAGTGTCAGTTCAAACTAGACATACTTTTTTTTTTCTCTATAAGAGACGAACCTCTTGGCATTTTCCAAGCTCATTTTTTTAATTTGCAAAATTCTAATTTTCGGACTTGAGCAGTCCACGCTCAAATATAATAAAAACCTCCTATTTGCATACGTGTATTTTTACCAGTATTTAAATACATAATGTCATATAAAAAATCAATAAATAATGTTGAAGTATGCAAGAGTACCCAGTGTAAGTTGTACGTTTAACGCGATAGTAAAACAGGTGCACATACAACGGGACAGGTCTCGCCTATCGGTGGCAAGAGCAGATTATTCTGGCACCAATGGTGCATTGAAACTAGACCAGAATTGAAAGTATTGGAAAATATTTTGCATTTCTTAAGTGCCTAATAAGCTTTTACATGCGTAATGCCAACGCAATGAGAACAAAATAAACTTTCCCAATTCCGTTCGTTTAGTCCTATATAAATGATAAGCTGGCACGTCATCAATATCTATATAAGGCGTAACTGAACGACTGGATATACGCCAATTACGCAAGTAGCTCCAGTAATACAAAAGACATGCTGGCAACGACGTTGGCGGTTCTTCTAATCACCGGGCTAGGTGGAGGCATACTGGCGAAGAAAGTGAAAACAGATTTACCTGTGTAACAAATTTTTATAATAATATTAATTATCACTACTAAATTACATTTATTACAAATAATTTATGTTATTGATAGAACCAATTGAAAACTCATTCAAAAACGAATCCATGTGTATTAAATACATACATTTATCCACTGCATTTTACTAATTTCTAAACCCCGGTATAAGCACCACTAACTTATTAAATTATTTGTCGCGTACCGACGAAATTTCAAGTAGGTGTCTTCTTTTTTACAAATGTATGTACTAGTATGATAAACGTTTCGGTGCGTTTTGATGTCTCTGCCAATCCCGAATCTGTAAATCATTCCTTCCTTTCAGCCAATACCCACACTTATTAAACGTCTGTTGGTACTCGTGTTTATACAAAGCATCGCTGTTAAGTGCATAGATATTTGGTAGAAGTCATGTTCAACAGATCTAATGACCACATCAATATATCTGTATCTGTAAAACTCCCTTTTCAGATTATTTTGCTCCTGGAGGCCATCGTCCTGTAGGAATATCATATCCGTTTTTTTTGTGCTACTTTTTAAAATATACATTTCTTTCTTTTCCATATTTTCATACTTCTTACTTACATACGATTTCGAAAAATTAGTGATAGACAAAATATACTGAGGTTTCAATAGCGTAGAAATGCTGTGACAAAATAGACCAAGGGAACAACTTTCGGGTATCCTTTACAACACACCTGCGTGGCATCGCGATTTCAGAAGTCCACCATTTTACTGCTGTACCTTAATCTCATGTCATATCGAACAGTGACACTGAATCGGTTAAATCGAAATGGTTTTAAGGTAATTTATCTATCTATCTTATTTATGAAGTCGTGAAATACCCTATAACAGCTGTGAGACGCATTTTTGCAGTGATTTCCCATAAATAGCGGAGCTAAAACCATTGACTAATTGTGGAAAAACATGTCGGTGGTCAAAAACGAAGAATGACTTATAGATTTACCATTGCGTATCGGACTCATCGAAAACATGCACTAGTATGTTATAGCAGCTTCTCCCTGCTCCGAAATTAATTAAACCGAATTAAGCAAGATGTTTATATTAAGCAATTTAAAAGTACAGCACGACACTGGTTACTTTAACCTCTGGCCAAGAGAGAAATTTGCATGGAAATATTGGTGCTTCTTTTACAGCTATAGCAGTGGGCAGGAACTAGAGGTTTTAAAATGACCCGGAACATAACCTTTACCATGGTTCACAGAAAAACCCAAAGAAAAACATGTAAAAAACGTTCTTTATGTGTTACGCCCGCTATATCTGCCGTTAAGCGTTACTTCAAGCTGTGGGCTTCCAGCACGAAATGCAGTGCGTCTAGATATGAATTCGAGCTTAAACCTCCATGTGTCCTTAAATTTAACAATAATCGCGTTATCTCATCCGGTACTGCGGATGTAAAATCACATTTGAAAAAAATTTTTGATGTTGGAATATATATTTACGCCTATGCGGCAATTATTTTTACGTGCTTACTTAATAAAAATGAGGTACAAGTGAATAAACACTTTTTGTATGGCTGTATTATTAATAAATTACCTACTATGAAAAAAGGGGATGGCATATTTTCAATCAAAATATTGTTAGACCGCTAAAGTCTGATTAATAATTACACTGGTGAAAAAAAATTAATATTCTCGTGATACGAGTTCCATACGTTCTGCAACTACTAAATCAAATTCGGCTGTACTATGCACAACATTTTTCAGGTTTATTTTCTTTGCTGTGGATTTTTTATTGTCCCACCTTCAATATTAAGGGCCCACTTAAAGATTACTCTTTCATACATTAGATGTACTAAATTCAATCAACAATACTACACTATTGCTTTTTTATTAATTTGTAGTATATGCAAACCATCAGGTCGGAGCTTCACGTACCTTTTTGCTTACAGCCTTTTTTTTTTTCTAATCTTTCCTTTGTTAATCAATAAGTGGTAAATATTCTTGTTATCGTCCTATACAGGTCACACAACTTAAAGTTTCAACTCCAAAGGTGGCCATGTCTGTGTATGTGTGCCAAAACGAGCATCTCTGCCAGTTTTTATTTGTTTTTCATCGAGGTTGAAAGGCTACTGAGGTAAGTCGGGATAGGAGGACATATATAACAATATACAATAAGAACCTATGCTATGAGCCCTACGTTCTGCGTGCTGCTAAGTTCAAAAGGACATTTCCAACCTAGAGAACGCACATCACTCAATTTTTTGCTTTAACTGCTGATTTCTATAAAAGGAAAATCTTTATTCAATTGCCCTACGTCTCTCAGCTATAGAATTCCTATTGCGAGTGAAACAAATATTTTGGTAACTTCTTCGAAGCTTTTTGTTATTGGAAAAAATGTGAAATAAAGTAAGCGTCAAAAACTCGACGTACCAAATTTTGGAACTTGAACTCAAAATAAAACTTTGCGATCTGAACGAATCAATATCAGTAGCTTTTTATAGTGAAGAAAGAGCTTTCCAACGCTATGTATGTTTATTACTATCTTTTGCCTCTCCTTACCTCACCTGTGAAATTAGTGTTCGTTAAAAAAATATATTTTACCCATATTTTGCCGAAATCATGCAAAGATCATTGACGTGTAAGATCTTAAAACTACCACTGAACCTGTCCGTCAATTCCATGTACAAATGCGTACAACATTTTACTTGCGGTTGAACCTGCCCGAAAAGTCTAAACAATCTATGAATTTTCTACACCGATTCATTTTTCAAATAATACCTATTGCAATACCCACTTGCCTACGTAATAATATTAAATGACTGTTTCTTATCGCCAATATTCTTTACAAATCTAAATAAACAGTCGTTGAACTGTTGGATCCTACTATTTTACACATTTATTACCATTTCATTTATAAATAAAACAAAGAATTTATATCATTCAAGGAGAGCCGCAAGCCGCTCCTACCTGCCTTGTGGTGCTGTCGCTTGTTATGCCGTCGTTAATTACCGTTTATCATTATCCTCAGCTCCATTTGTAATGATCCTCATCGTCGTCACGCATCACCACCATGCAGGCCTTATCCATTATTATTCTTATTATGATATTATATCATTTGCCTGTCGACTGCTGCTGCTTGTCTTTTCCTTTGTATAGTGTCTTTTGGACTACAGTCCATACATTCCATCTTGTAAATCTGTTACGCTCTGTTACAATCTCTGTTATCATCATTTTGCTGCGCTTTGTTTTACAATCTTTATTACTCTGGTTTTCATTGATTTTGTCTTTGTTGCTGTTAGTTGTCAATAAGGCAATGTCACTCTTGGTGTAAATGATTCCTTTAACCTGAATGGGTTTTCGTTTGTAGTGTACGTTTTTCAACCGTACAAATTCAGATTTTAATTCCATTTTGTTCAGAGTGATCATATGGTATTGGTGACATTATGATCCATATTATTATTATTTTTATTAGCAGCATCCTCCATCGCTATATATCGCGCAGTATTTTGTTTTCCTTGATGATTTAATTCACATTCTCATTGTTGTAGTTGTTGTTGCTGTTTTTCTATTTTCGGTGTATTGACGTAATTAATATGAACCCACCCCTAACTACCAGCTTGAAGCCATTATTGATCTTCCCTTACATACGTTCATACCATTGTCGTCGTCGTCGTCCCCCCCCCCCTGTCCCCAATAACCAAGCAGCCCATACCACCTCATCGCAGTAAAGGCACACCACTTCAATCAGCAACACCCTTAACACACATCCATACACAGAAATTTACGTATGAAGATTCTCGCTCAATTACGCCCCCCTCTTTGTAACTTCATCAGTTTGTTTATACGGTTGTTAGTTCCTCACTTTGTCCTATTCACGTTATGTGCCACCAGGTTCTCTACTTCTGTTTACTGCCTATCATCTCTTCGTCATCACAATTCTCCATCTATCTGTCATCTGTTCAATTTATCTGGTTTTATCGCCCTTCAACTCCTACATTCATCCGCCTTCTCTTTTTTCGATTTTGTCGATGTTTTTCTATTCACGTGTTACTTATTTCTGAACGTTAGTATGTCCATTTCAGTAAACTCAAGGTCCATTAAGCCCTCGCTTTCCGTCCATTTAATGTTAACTACATCATCAGTTAATTTACGATTAATCTATAGTAGGGAATTAAATGGATCAGATTGTCTTCATGTCTGGTAATCGGTCCACAACGTACCTTTTCGTATGCAGAAAACTAGTAATAATAATAATAAGGATAGTTATAGAAAAAATATGAGAGTAAGTAATATATATAAATTGTAATACTAATAACAACAACAATTAGCAAATCATTACTAATTAGTAGATACTTTACATACGAAATAATGAATGTTCAATTACATATGTTCTATCGATTGTCGTGGATCGATCAACAGAATGAATATAAATCAATCCAACATTTAGTCCCAAATGGATAATCGGTCAATCGATAGATCACTTTAGATGACGATGGCCATCGTCAGAGGAACAAACGCACGATCATGCGTAATAGGTCTCTTCTACCGATTTTGTTCTCATCAACTTCATGGCATGCCGTGTTCTACCTGTGCGTCATTGACCTGAAATTCTGGAGTCCAGACGACGCTCTACAACTGTATATACAATACTTGCTCATTCGTTCGTATATATATTTTGCGCCTTTTGCACTGAACCGACGTAGACTCTGTTAATTTTCCTTTTCTATTGTTTGCTGAAATTCTTCTTGCTGTAGTAGTGATAGTAATAATTGTTATTGGTGTTGTTGCTGGTTGCTGTTTATCATAGATGTCTTAGTTTTGCAACTTGCGCGACGACAGGCAAACGGGACTTGCGGGGCGAAGCAGCTAATGTCCCTTCTTAGGAATATATATATATATAATTGCATTTCATCCTAATATGCGTATATGTGCTCTCTATTCCCAAAACGTCATCGTTTAAATTGGAGTCTTTAATTTTTACTTGTCCTTTTCTTTATCTTTTTTCTGTCCACCAACGTCTTGCATATCTAGCCCACCACAGAGCAAGGCCTCGACTTTTCCTGCCTTTTGCGCCTCTCCCGACTGTCTTATGTCGTGCCTTTGCCATTTTCTAATTACTCAAAGTTGACCGATCACTCGTGTGTTTCCCATTGTGTCACAACGCGCACATGTTGCTTATGTCCACACGGTTTCCAAAAGGGCCACCAACAAGATACTGCTTGATGCTCCAGACACACCAGACATGAACGAGATACAACCAGGCCCTATTAGCGCTTCGCCAACCGGTTGTCGCTAATCTTCTCCTGCTGCCAACCAAAACCATGAACCCAATAATCCAAGCTCATGAATCCACGGCGAGCATCCAGTGCCAATTGCACATAGGCGCCCATGGCTGGCCGGGCTAATAAGTGATATTTGCTTAAAGGAAGTAGTCAGGTGTCCGACGGGTAACATGCGGTTCACCACGTCTCGGTGCAGGGTCAAACTGAAGGAAAGAGTACTTAAGCGAGTCATCGAGTTCCATGATGGCTGCTTGATTACCACACCGATAGCAATAGTTAGGGGCCGAAAAGATAGTAACAACGTTTCGATCGTGACACCAATTGTAACCTTCCATGACAAGCTGGTGAGCGCGAGCAACCAGTGTTAAGCCGTTGCTGTGGTTGAATGATTCCGAAATATCCTGACCAAACGTGTATCCTGCGCCACGGGGTGAGATACCCCATCCTCCCCGATCATCGGGGTCAGACCACAGTAGATCGCACATTGGGCCTTCATGAGGCACCTGTAAAAAATGAGAGTGGGCAAATGAAAGTGTGGTGCCAAATTATTGTATCTCGAATGTTATTATTACGTAATATGTATCCTCTCATGAGATAACGAGGTAATAATGATATACAAAAGTGCTGAATGCATCACACGTGTCGTTCGAAATTTTTTGGTCAGCAGAAAATAAACGGTCTACGTTATTGTTAATTTTCATGCGGCTACCGAAAAGTTCGACAAAGACTCATCTACCAATACAGAACATGCGTAACAAGAAAACGGCTCAAAACGGCCAAAAATTTATTTTTAAAAAAATACGTAAAAACCATATATAATGGTAGTGGTATTTAGATCTGGAGTCTGAGAGTTATTTGTAAGCGCGCGTATTTCATCGCCTATGAAAACCTTAAATTAATTTTTTTGTCATATGTCAGGTACGTTCTGATGAATCAAAGGTCAATGGACATTCTTACCGCTGACGCGTTAAAGCAGTTGTAAGCATGAACCATTCGCCTGTCTTTTAATTTCTCTTCAACAAAAAGTACTACCACCAAACGTAAAAATCATTGGGAAAGATGACCGCTGGTTTATCCAGTAAGCCACAGATGTTTTAGGATTAAGCCAAACCTAAAAAGTGTTTGAGTTACTGAATTTGTGGACGAATATGAACTAAATTTCTTACGTGCGGTTGTATTGGTTCGCATCAAATTGTGGCTTTCCTTTCGTAAAGATAATACAATTAGGTTTCTTACAAATTGATCTGAAAGCGCAAATTGATACTGTGTTGAGTAGAAGGCCATACGTCTTATAGGAAGACTAACAACCTACACAAGGACGGCATTTAAAGGTAACGCTGGGTTGCTGAAAATCTGAGCCCTTAGTAAAGGCATGCGTTTTTCTTAAGATGCAGCTCATAAACCAGCGATATCAACTTTCGTCTAAACGTATTCTGTGCGCCCTGTATAGTTGTCAATGTAACTCTTCAGTTAGTGCTGCTACTTTATTGCGGAGAATAAAATAACAAAAATATTATGAAAAAATAGCTTGTAAACAAATCTACCCCGTGAAACAATACAAATGACGCAATATTTACCTCTTGTAGCCTATCGAGCGAGCGGATGTGGTCAAGTGAATCGATGGAAGGTGACAGGCCACCATGAAGGCAGAAAATTTGTCCATCTACGAGTGCAGTAAGCGGGAGGAAGTCAAATAAGTCAGTAAAGTGCTTCCAGACGTTGGCATTCCCGTATTTACGGAGGCACTCATCATAAAATCCGTACACTTGGGTAATCTGTCGGGATTCGTGGTTTCCTCGTAAAATTGTGATGCGCTCTCTGTAAACGCCAATTTATAAGTCAAAATCTGCTACGATAGGAATGGTAAAGTGATTCACTCATTTACCCTGTAGGCAAAATACCGAAGTGATTCGTATATCATTTGCACAAAATTAACTCGCAAAATGGAATGTAGTACAGCTTACTTAAAATTAATGCGTAATATTTAACTTTCAATGCAATCAATAATTGAAAAGATAATTCGGCAATCCAAAACCCTGGACATCACATACATCTTTTTTTTTCCCTGCATATCCTACATACATAGTTTACCAGAACATTATTTGCATAGTACTTTGTGTCTCTCAACACTCCAATATTTGCAACCGATCAAGAATATTCACTAATCACTACACCATATGCCAATAGGTCCGTTGCTTAAATGTCTACAAAAAGTTCATTAAATAATATACAGAAGCGACAGTGCTTTTAGAAATACTTCATTACATGAAAGATAGGTAATAGAATTGCTTGTATTGTATGTCGTAATGGTTCGAGTTTGCTGCGCATGAAGACAAATGGACAAACGCAATCGATACACAATGAACATTAAAAAGCAGACTACAAAAAGAAATATCAATGGATTTGCTGGCAAAGGAAAATTAAATATCAGAACTCACCTAAATCTGACTTTTAGGGCCACGAGGAGGGTGACAGTCTCAACAGAATAGTATCCCCGATCGACATAATCTCCCATGAAAAGGTAGTTGGTGTCAGGGCTTTTGCCGCCAATCCGGAAAAGTTCCATCAGGTCGTGGAACTGACCGTGTACATCTCCGCACACTGTGACCGGGCATTTTACTTCCTGCACATTATTTTCCCGTGACAATATTTCTTTAGCCTGAAAATTCAAAATTATTGGTTTAACATGATTACCACTCAAATATGCATACTACAAAAAAGAACTAAAAAAAACGTAAGGGAAAACGAATTATCGCCATTTTCAGTCCATTTTGCAATAAATAACCTTACAAGCGCTATTAGTTGAAAAAATTTGCTACTATACGTACAAGAGAGTAAATAGATTAATCGTAACCTTTGCCTCTAGTATTTAATATATTGTAATACTGTGAGCAGAGTATGAACTTGAGCTATGATATATCTGCTCATATCTTATATTTTGATTGTAAATGGTTCTAGAAGAACTGCAGTTTTATAGTGCAAGCTGGAGTAAACAGACGCTGTTCTCATAGTAAGGGTATTATCGACTGCCCCACGAAGACCGCTTTAAGCTTTTGCATGTGAATAAACTAGCTTTACATTACTTAGTCCATGACTTGCATTTTTTCATACTATAAAAACAGGTATAGATTAAGTGATTGTATTCCTTAAGTGCTAGTTAAATAAATGAGATCAATACATTATTTAAAGATATGTTCTCAAATTTTTATTACTCAGAAGGCTGAAAACATTTAGCTGCGGTGATATGTCCACACGGAAATGATTCCCATGAACCCATTAGCATTCGCTGGATTATTGATTCGATTGGTTCCGTCATAAAATAAAGCATAATGAAACATGTCAATTAATAAAATTAATAATAATTTGGAAACACTACTTACATAAAATGTACCGTAGCTCGTGTAACAAAATCTAGGGAAGTAAAACATTTTATTGATCTGCAAGTGCGCACCTCAAGGACTGCTTCTATTGTATTAAAAAAGTATTATTGATTCCTGTTGCAAAAAAGATCTTAATGTAACAACAGAAAGACTATGTCCCAAAACTTATAATTTGTATATTTTAAAAACAAAATCCTGGACTCAATGTTTGTCACTAAAGTACGTTATTTCCAATAGAATTTTGGCTCCAATTAACATGATCTTTCGATATAAGATTATTATTATTATTATATATATATATATATATTATTATTATTCGTTATAAAAATCATCACTTCTAACATTTTAGAGTTTTAGTATATATTTCCCTTGCAAATCAAGTATATTTAATTAGTGATATAGAATTTAAGTTATCATTAGGTTAACCGCACGTTACCGTTAACCGCCTGTTGTACAGCAACGTTTAATTCATTCCATACGTAATTCAAACGTAAGCTTTAAGCCAAGAACCTCTCATCTCTTTAAGGTACCTAGTAGTAGTATGAAAATATTTTCTATTATAATTGCGTGAAAGCTCCTTGAAGGTCATACCAAGTACTGGCCAGTTTGCTGTTTGCGATTCTCAGTAAAATATAATTCAAACACTGGTATAGACAATCTGAATACGGTTTGAGTAATTCAATGTTTTACGTTTCTCAAACTGCCTACTTGAAAGATCACAATGTATTCTTGCTTATCAATGGCGCAAATTTTTTTGTAGACCATCAGCATTTTTTCCCATATAGAACTTCTTATCCTAAAATATTTTAAACGAACTCCAATAAGAACTGCGCGCCCAATTTTGCATCTATTATACTTAACTTACAAAAATCCCAAAACATCTTGTATAATGCAGCAACGGGCCATCTAATAAGAGCTGCAACAAATACGAGGTATTTCATTTATATACATATGTCCTATAAATGCGGCAATTACAGTGAAGAATGCTCCAAATAGATTACGCCATCTACTTAACCCAGGCATATGTTAATTCCGCAGTAAGTAAATAGACAGTCACGTCCTGCATGCTCTTCCATGCCATCACAGCCACCGCCAATTGTGATTAGTGATGGTCAGTACTGAACGGAAGGATATACGATCATTTGAAGAGCTAGATCATCGAGTAAAAGAGAGTAAAAAAAAGATTACGGTAACACAAAAATCTGAGAAAAAATCTTGAGATCAAAAGAAGGCAAGTTGGGCAAAGAACGCCTGAAGAAAATGAACTATAAGCTTCTATAAGTAAGCTTATATAAGTACTATAAGCTTGGTTAAAAGTAGTACCATAGAATGTCATCGTTGCATTTACCGTGACCGACTGCTTACTGGCTTAGCCTCCTAACGAGTCATAGCTAACTGGTAATGCTGGGCGCTAGCGCTCAAACAAATGATCATCTTGCTGTCAGGTACTTTTGTTAGTTAGACAATTTCGCTGCTCTTCGCGGCCAAAAGGAGCAGGGCAACAACAAGAAGCAGAGGCACGAAGGGAGAACATAACAGTGTGACTTAACAAAGCGACGTGACAATTTGATGTCAGCTAGCACCCCAACCGCCACTGCTTCCATAATCATCGCTGGTAGCATCATACACTGCGTTGTCGTAACGATTACAATATAATCGACAGAAGCTGTTGCAGGACCCATATAAGCACTTTTATCATTTAGCATTATGACAGAGAAACAGTCATTAAAATATCAATAAACCGATTACTATATTTCAACAGCAAAAATTAACATCACCGCTACTCGCTGAAAGCCTACTGCTAACATAACTTATTGCCAAAACGCAAAGAACGTAACTAAAAACGTTGATAATAGTAATATCAGTATTTAATTCAATTGACAATATGATTATGACATATACAGTCATTGGCCGTTATCAAAACAAGACCAGTGCAATTAATAATATACCTTTAGACAATTTCAACTAAAACAGGCGCAGAACTCAGATATTCTCGTGAACAAAAGTAAGGGATCAGACCTCCAAGGTGTACAAATGATTATGTAGGTTACACACTACAAAAATACACATATGAATGAAGCCGCGTAGTCGACATTTACCGGTACCTACGTTGTCGATTGCTAACAAAACAAATGCAAGCTAAATACTGTAGCAGGATTCACTTAGATTAGATCTTGTCAGCCCCAACAGCTCATGTACTTACACAACTGGAATATTTATTAGCCAAATAGTCTCTACCATTGCATTCCATTATTCTACAGTAAATATAGAGCATTAACAACGTCTCGATATAACTTCTTTAGTTCAATATTACCCCTTTCTCATGACAAGAACATGCACGCGATTGCACATCATTTTTTAACTTCATTCGACAGACTAGATTGCTAAAATTACTAACAACGACGTGCCAGACGGATGTTCCTTTACGTAAAGCCTCGATGAAATTTTTGGACTCTCTGAATCATTTCCCAATGAATATTTTAGTTTATTTAAATCTTGAATTAGCGTACATAAAGGTATAGCACCAACATTGAAACAGTGCTTAATTTTCGTTTGGGTTGGCAAATCGTGGGCTAATGATATAATTAGAGAACAGTTCATACTATTGATACACTTTATCTGAACAACAAGTAGCTCGAAAATTTTTATCTGCTCAGTTGAAGTTTACTGCTTAGGTAATTCCAGATTTTCATATTTTTTACATCGAACAAATAATCGTCCTATTTCAAACAGTGAAACGGTTTTTCAATGAAAGCACGATCCTGCAAAACAGCGTACTGCCTAAGGATCATCTGATCCATATTAAATGCATCTTATTAAATACGGTAATGAATTAGCGATATAAGGATTTATTTAAAGTTTTCTTTTTCAAGGCTTTTGTAGATAACTAGAACGGCATACATTGCGTAATGGCACTCCGTTGCCGAAGCTTCAAAGTCAAGTTTGAAGTATTTCGCACTGAAGAATAAGATAAACATTTGGAACTATAAACAGTAGTAATAGGTGTTTAAATATTCCAATTTTAACGTACTCCAGTCTAAGAATAATATTTTTCGACCCGCCTTGTTCGTAACGTAAGTTGTTTACATACTGCTGGTATAGCTGGCTAGAAGCAACGAATTTCTAGCTTCGAAGTAGTATTTTTATCGCCGATAAAAAGTGAATATTTTCGTAAGAAACATTTTTATACTCTAGCCACTTTCAATTCGCCATTATTGCTAAATGAGCACAGCGAGAACTTCATGCCTTCTTTGGTACTATTTAGGACTGGGAGAAACTACCGGACGCGAAAGTGGTTATGACGCTTGCGACAGTGGTAGCAGGAACAATACGATATGAGACGCAAGAAGTCTTAGAACTATGCCTTTTTTTTTTACTGAGTAATATTTAGCTTTAATTCCCCTGCACTGTGTGCTGGCTACAGATGGAGCTCCATACCTTGCTATTTCGGCGCTCATAACGCCATTGAACTACATCTAGGGCCTAAGTGCCACTCCCGAGGGAATCTTACATTTCCGTCAGTCAACCTGAGGCCGCATACTTATGAACAATCAACGAAAACTCGAATTCCACTGGATCGAAAAATTCTTCTCAAACAGTATGATTTAAGATAGATATCTTATCTTAGACATAACCTTACCTGATAATTTCTGTATGAATGATAATATATCTAAGAAATAATATGGAAAACGAAGACTAATCACATAGGCTAAATTGAGCAATTGTTATTTTTGAACAAATACACCAACATCTAATACGTATATATATATATATATATATATATATATGTGTGTGTGTATAAGCTCAGTACTTGATATTTTTAATCAGGTATCTACTTTTAGACAACTCATCTCCTGGAAGCAGCATGGAAAACCCCTTAGTTATTTTGTCCACCGTAGGTATAATTTACTGCTGTTTTTACATCAAATCGCTCTTTAAACCCTGCATGTAACGATTTTAAAATATGTATGAGTGCCATTATAATAGCAGATCAATAGCAAAAAGGCAGCGAAAAATACAATTTAGTCGCTTTAAGACATGTGAAATGGCTCAACGAAGCTAGCTAGCTCTGGTGTTAAGTCAAAGGACTGCACTCGTTTCCCAAAAAAATCGAAAGATCAATTAGCGCACAGAAAGCAATAGGTGACAAACCGTCACATTGAAATGTTGCACCCATTCAAATGTAGGGCGTTCAGATCGCGGCGTAGATCAACTCGAATGGCATGCCATAAATGGTGACCCAAAATCATTTATCAACGGCATGCGCATGTATAATGTGTATGCGATAGCAGTACGATTGATATCGGACTACCACGATAAAATTTCTGATCAACCTTAAGTAGACTTCACGGTGTTCAAGTAATGTTCAATCAATACTTGATAACTTTTGGCTATATATTTCTCTAATATATACTAGCCGGGACATCCACTCGCTCCCGTTGAACCAAAGGCTGCAAAAAATATCTTAAAAAAGCAGTGTATAAAAGAGTTTAAATAAAACATCAGAATCAGGTAACTATAGCATTTGTTAACTGACGATATTTACAGAACCGCTATAGCGAGCTAATAAGGCACTAGGTTTTGTTATAATGTTCTGAGGGTATGGCCTGATTGGCCGGTAACCGTTGGGGACAGCCCCCACAGGCAGCATTTTAGGCAGTACGACTGCCGGACTGTTCCAGTACCAAGCAGGGGGAAAATAAAAGAACGAAAGCTGTGATGATATCTGTGTCTTTTGATCAGTTGCCTAGAAACCAATATTGCCTTGTCTACGTCATATATACAATTGTATCATATTACGTGATGAAAAAGACAGTGCAGTGTAGCCAACACAGAATCATTACTATTTGATTAGCCGTTCAAACTGCCAAATTTGATTGATGCTAAGATGCATAAGCATTGTTATTTATATTCTTACCTTTTCGCAGAGCTGTTTCACTTGATTCTCTGTGAGCTGTTTGCATTCGTTAAGCTGCTCGATCCAGCCGTCGAGTTCCTTTATGATCTGTTTTTCATCGCTCGTCATTGCGTAGCTGCCAATGACGACAGGGAAACAAGTCGCAAAGTGATGATGGAAAGCAACGGCAACTGATCCTTGGTAGTTATTATTATTATTACTATGTGAGGCAAGACAACAGAGACAGCATAGGCAGCGCCAGCGGTAGCGGTAAGGTGGTATGACCGCACGCAGAGTAAGAGAGCACTGAGCACAAACACAGCACCCCCACCATGAACATCAACATCCACGAAACAAACCAATTACACTTGGTCTCTACTATATAGTCCCTTGAATGGTGGTAGCAGTACCTATCGTAGTTCAGGCAGTTTCTCACGAAACAATACCAAACATAACACTCTTTTGGTGACCCGATATAATTTTTTTGCACCCTCAGTCTAGTAACCTCCCCAACTCGACTACGGAAACTGAGTTCAGTATGCAGTAAATATCGATTATCTCTACGTGTTAATAGCCGCGACAGTATTAGGAACCTCAGAAGAATCCGATCTCACAAAATTGGCAAGTACTGGTATTATTAGCAGTGATAGTAAATCCGCCACCACAGCACACTACTCACTGGATTCGTAACAGCTACCGCAGCGGCCGCACGAGCACCCGTAACAAGCCACACGGGTCGAATAATATGGCCGCCAGCGTGCCACAATTCACCGACACGTTCCACGGAATGTACCACACCACATATTAAAGCGACACCCCCACTGACCGCCAAGATAACTGCCAGCCGCCGATGCATCCATCCAGCTTCAGTCAGAAATACTTAGCCTTACGAACTCGGCCTTACATTCTAGGAGGGAGAAGTGAATAATTATCAGAATGCGCAATGAACGTTATACTGCCACTGTGCATTCTTCTTTCTTTACCATTTTCTGTTATTTGTACTAATCTATTTCATGTAAACTAAGTGTGGAAGCTATAAAAATGTTATACAGGAGGAAAACAAGGTCTGTAAAAAAGGAAAGTCTTCTGTAATGACTTTAGTATATACAATAGGCGTAATTGAATAACAAATTAGGCTTTGAATAATCATAAGTTGGAGTGGAGCGATATATAAGCACAAGTATCTCAACCATATCTGAATGCTATAGAAGCATATGGACGACGCTCATACTTTTTAAATAACTACCTAATTGTAGTATCATAAACGTAATGTGATACTTTTTTGGTACTATCAATGGTACTATTTTCAAATCAGAGCGCTTTGGCCATCCATAACATCAGATTTGTCTGCTCAATTTCGGTGTAAACATCCTTTTCTGCGTTGGTATTGCTTCGGTAACATCGCATTGGTGCGGTTGCTATAGAAATCTGTAAAAATCCTCCTGATTTCCAAAAAAAAAGCAGCTAAAATGACGTCAATGAGCATACAGGAACATTTGATGTATCGTGGTGTGATGCGTGGCCACAATGGTTGGGTTACGCAGATTGCCACAAATCCAAATTATCCTGAAGTGATCCTGTCTTCGTCCCGCGGTACGTTGCCTTCCAGATAGAAGGGCTTGACTTATGTAGCTAACACTGGACTTCTAAAATTTTAGTTTAGAGTGATACTAGTGTGACATAAGTGAATAGATTCTGCCGAACGGGTTCTGCTGGCAAACAGGGAGCTTATTCTTCGAGCTTCGTGTAGTTGATTTGCATACTCGTTCACCGTTCTGATTCTTTGTGGCGATCATTAGGCATGATCTGACCATATGATACAGTGGCATAGTTTCAGAGAGCCCTTTTTAATGCATGCTGAAAGAACGATTGTATTTTGTTTGTGGTATACATATGTTGCAAATTCAAATGTTTGCCAAAAATGCTCTACTCAAGAATAGTGTAATTTGGTGGGGAATTCCCTATCCGGCGCACGTTGCGTAAAACGAATTGCAATATTAAAATGTGAGCTGCAAAGATCTTCTGTGATGCAACAACAAAGCCTGGTGGCGCTATGAGTGTTTGATATTCTTACTGCTGTAGTGTTTTTCACGTATTTTGCCCTTTTGTATCAGCGAATGAAGCGAGTTGTACAAATTTCGAAGCAATAACTTGTTGATGTAATGTAACTTATCGAACATACGTTTGCGACGTTAATCGCTCATATAAAAGTACTATATTGGGCCCCTTATGTTCCTGTTGTATACCAGCATTACCTATCTACATAATGTACGCCATGTCAAATTTAAAAGAACTAGTACCTTAAATACATTACATTTAAAACTACTACATTAAAAATGTGCTCTATTTAAATTAAAAAAAAATTAATCCTTAGTTGACTGCAATATATTAACATGTAGTGTTTTTAAGATATTCGATTTTGCTTTTGTTGAAAAGCACGACTTAATTTTGAACGATATAAACGTTTCTCGCGAATATCTAACTGGAGTCCATGGGAATGCCATTTTACATAGTCAAGATTATTACTACATGTTCCTGATTTTTTACAGACAAGACTCTCATCCTATGGGATCTGAGACGTGATGAGGGTTGTTATGGAATGCCGAAGCGTCGTCTCCATGGTCACGGCCATTTTATCACTGACGTTGTTATGTCCTCGGACGGACATTATGCTTTATCGTGCTCATGGGACAAAACTTTGCGTTTGTGGGACCTGAACGCTGGTCGTACCACTCGGCGCTTTGAAGACCACACGAAGGACGTGCTCTCAGTGGCCTTTTCTGCTGACAACCGACAAATCGTTTCTGGCTCACGTGACAAGACCATTAAGGTTAGTCTGCTATTATTATAATGGTATACGTCTGCTTTTGTTCCTAACGTTGATACTTTGTTCTGACTGATCGACCTACGGTCACACTATTCAGTATATTTCATCAAATTAGAAATATTTCTAAGAACTTTACTATAGTAAACAATCATATGTATTATGTTAGGTGTCTTGGTGCACGCATTACTCTTAACACGTTTATTCCTGACATTTAAGAACTTGGAAACAATTTTTTTTTTAATATGTGTTCGGTATTACATGGAGATCAGGTACTGTTATGGATTGTTAATGATACTGTGAGAGTTTGTCTGAAAATAGTACTTTAAAAAAGTTCATAATTTTGTGGCTTGCAGCGCAAGAATGGTAATAATCACTAGGACTGATGGTTAGTGAATCAGTGCTTGAGGCCATTCCAACTTTTAGCGGCTGCTACATGAACGAGAGTGAGCTGCGGCCTTTGGAAGCAGTACATTAGAGAGTCGGTTTGCTTCTCTTAAGGCAGCTCATACAGTATTTTACGTGTAGTGACTCAGCTAAACTGATATGAATATCAGTTGCTTGAATTATTGGAACATTATGAGCGTATAGGTGATTTTTGTAATGCATGTAATCAATTTCTTCTTTATCGATTACGAGCTAGTTTATACAATTTCCATGCCTGCTATTTTTCTACTAATAAAAACATTTTGTTTATGGTCGATTCCATAATTGTATTACAACAATATGACTATCTAGCTATGGAACACTTTGGCTCAATGCAAATACACGATCGAGGATTCGCACGACCATTGGGTATCATGTGTGCGCTTCTCGCCTAACAACAACAACCCCGTCATCGTCTCATGCGGTTGGGACCGTCTCGTTAAAGTGTATAACCTTGCCAACTGCAAGCTTAAGACCAATCATTTCGGTCACAAGAGGTACCTCAACACTGTCACGGTTTCGCCTGACGGATCTCTTTGCGCATCAGGTGGCAAGGTAATACGTGAGATACTCATAGGTGTTGATAATAGGAGGTTAAGAAGTGTAAGCTACAAATAAAATCTAAATGTGTTCATTAATACTACGCATCAAGATTCATACGCAGTATAATTAACACTTGTAGATTATAGTTAAACTACCATAATGAACATTCGAATTTACAGGAATTCTCGTGTTCCTTGGTCAAGAACATTCGAGAAAGAGCATAACCATCTAAAAATTATTAGCCAACTACAACAAGATGACTGTTTCACAACTCTGACGCTTTTACAAAGCCCATGAGGTCTATTTCCACAAATTTCTGATGTATTAGTTTGGTGACATTTCGTAATGCAAATAAGCTTGAAAGATTGACTTTTTCAACTTTTGTTTCGGTGTTATATGCGTACAATCGTCAATACCTCTTGCGCATTCGACTTGTAATGGAACCAACAATGGCTTTCAACGTAACGGTGATTAATAGGACGGCATGGCTATGCTGTGGGACCTGAATGAAGGCAAGCATCTGTACACACTTTCGACAAAGGAAACCAACGCTATTAACACGCTTTGCTTCTCGCCCAACCGTTACTGGCTCTGCGTTGCCAACGGACCCTCAATCTCTGTTTGGGTATACATGTTTTCTGTTTTTGGAAGCTAACACATTTCTTGACTTTGCAGGTAATTTGAAACTCAATAATTTATTAGGGCTATCCCGATAACTCTAATCAAATCGCTCTAATGAGTTTAAAATCTGACTTGATAGTAATATTTACAGGTTAACATTAAACTATGTACAGCGTTTAACAACTATGCAGTTTTATAATGTTACCAATCAAAGAAGAGGTGTCTACTTTGACTATCATGAAGTGATGAACAAAAATATACACATTCAACAGCTGAGGTATTGAAGACATTTTGACTCACTGACTGTTCATGAGCTTTTCAATATGATTTTTCCAGCAAAACTCTAAGGAACCTTTACTAATCTGTTTTTTCTGTACTATCTGTTGGTGTATCTTGTCTTGCCTTTTGGGTGTCACCTTGGCATTGCGTTCTTTTATCTATTTCGATGATTGGATTCATTGGCGTCGAAGGATCTTGAGAACAAGCGCTTGGTTGATGAACTTCGACCAGAGGTTATCACAACGACCGCAAAGGGCAACCAACACGAGTGCATTTCCCTCTCGTGGTCTCCTGACGGACAGACTCTTTTTGCTGGATACACCGACAACACGATTCGTGTCTGGCAAGTCACCGTAAGGCAATCTACTGCTTAAGCGGAGTATCAGCATGAAAAAGCGGTTTTGCTGGTGATGCACCCACGCTAGCCCCACTTCATTTTAATGTCTAGGAGGAAATAAAAGAAAAAACGTCGTGTGTAATTTCTTTCTGACGTGTTGTGATTGCGTAAGATAGGCTGTATGCTATCTAGCTCGACGGATTAGACGAATCATAGGGAACTGGTTTCGATTTATGCATCGTGGTCATCTTGCTTGGATTAGCAAAGATATAAAACTCGTACGTAGCTGTCAAGGAGTACAATCAAAATTTTAACCAAAGATCTGCCCTCTTATGCCTTTGTTTTTCTGGTCAGTGGTTGTAGCTTAAGAAGTGTATTTGTTCGGATGAAAACCTTCATACAAAAGGTACCTTTTTTTGATTTCCAATGGGAATCCGATTCCGATAAGCGCTATTATAACTGAAGTGCATTTTATAGTTTTTTTTATCTTACCGGCAATATATTTAGATTAGCGCAGTTAAAATGATATCAAAAAGAGATGTTATTATACAAAGCACACTACTTTTCTTCAAATATCAATTATGCATCAGTTTACAAAGCTGCAAACGGTTCCCAGCTAATCATGCACTCTGAAAATCGTTAAATTGCATCGACACCTATGGCGTCGTTTGTGTAAAAAATAATTTTGATCCTAAGGCAAACTACTACTGGATTAAGGTCATATCTTGCAACAAAATTTAAAATTTATGGATTGAATTGCGAGGTTGTCACGACGCTTAACTTACGCCAGAGGTTTAGGAACAAAACATTGGTTCATATTTACTTCGTCATAGGTATTTTTGGTTTGTAGTTACGATAGTTGTCGGAATACAGCCTGAAGTGTACGACATAAAATAGAACTTCTCTATTTTTTCGTTTAGGCTATGTAAGCATAACATGGCCTCATTTTTTTTCTGCTAGGAATGAAATGCTACGGCCCCAACTTTCTTTTTAAAGCCTCATTGTGCCAATAGTTATTGCACTTATGAAACGCTGTTCACTTGAGTAAATAAAATATAGTCGAATTGACTCCTGTTCCTCAAATAAGCAGTAGACGCCTTTTTTTTGCCGTAACGCGAACGACAACGTATTCCATTTGCAATGTACCTCACAAGAAAAAGAATATACGCTTGTACCTGACAAAAAAATATCGTGGGCAGCCAAACTAAAAAATAAGTTTTCTTTGGGTTCTCCGAGGATACTAACTACGTAACTATGTAACTAAACTAATTAACAATTAGTGAATGTGTGAAACTTATAAGCACCTCGGTAGCATCGCATGAGATTTACTGCAGGTTTAATTTGGAAAATTATAGTCAGAAAAATCACCAATTTTGCACAGCGTTAGTAGTAGACAAAACACAAGTCTTTAGAAGTTTGCGACCTTCAACAAATTAAGACAACCAATTAAGTTACGATAAGTATAACTTCAAGTATCGAGTCGTGATGATAACTGCATTCATAGAAAAATGACATTGATATTGTGAAACATTAGCCAAAGAATTAAGCTTGCTCATTATCTAAATCTCGTGAGGCTTATATACAGAAAACTCACGACAAATGGCATAACAATCGACGGCATTCAAAGTGGCTACTTAATAATAATGTAAGATTTTATAGACTTTTTTTTATTTGCGGTTTAAATTAAAAGACGGAAAATTAAATTCGTTGGACTTATCATGCGCTAAAAATAGCAATTGATTGAGCAAATATAAGAAGCAACAGAAAGAAGTCAATTTGTTTGCTGACAACATAGTGCTTAAGAGAATGAATGCAAAATATAAGGTTAAATGGGGAAAAGCAGAACTTGGTTTTTTAAATTGTACTAAACTTTTGTGTAATTGAATGCAGTATTTGCGGCCGTAGAAGGTGACTGTACTTATCTAAGTGCCTTTCCTTGTATCTATCCGGGTAAACACATGCAAAGCGATACGGTCTTGGTCTTGAAAATTGGGTAGCTTATTGAACTATTACACTTTGATACTTTTGGAGCATGTATAACATGGCTAGACTATTTAAATGCGATGTTAGTATAAACAGGCATATTTAGAGAGCAATCTAATGGGGTTGTAAATTGTGCACCACTAGAAAAATTACTACGACTTCTAGTATAATACCTTTATTACAACTAGCTGTATTTTAAATCCACTATTCCTTAATTTAGCCTCTATTTTTTTATTCTTCTTCTATTCTATATTTATGGCTAATCTGTGTGAACTATTACTGCAACAATCCTGCTCTGCCTTTATTGGAAGGGTTATCAGGTTAGAGTTCGCTAATCTAAATCTGTAGATACGATCTTATCTACGACAACGCACATTACCTTCTTAGTTTCCTACCAAATTTTTAACAATCAATATTCCACAATGTTGCACGGTAGCCGACGTATTGACACTATTGTGTAAATAACTCTTCATCCATTCACGCTGGTGCATCCATAAAATATAACTGCGAAAACTACAAATTTGAGCACGTATTGCCATTTAATGACTGACTCACCCAGAATATCGGTGACCTTAATAAATGTTCATTAAATAGCCATTGGAAATTTTTCAACTAACCTAATTGAGCGGTTTGAATGCTCTTCAGCTGGGGATTGCTATATACTGCTAAAACCCAATTAAACTTAATTTTTTAGAGTTAAAAGCTTATATCGACATAACTGTGAATAGAAGTTGTTGTAAAATGCGCATGAGTAAATGTACCTACGAAAATTACAGTTCTAATCACCCAAATGTATAAAGTTGCTCCTATTAGTTATTATGATAAGGCTACCACTTCTAGCAACGCGTCACCGCTCAAAATTCGATAGAGATTTGACTGAATCCTATAAATATTTGACGTCTAAAGGTTTGATAGGGCCCTAGGTAAAATTAAGCGTGACTTGATATCTTAAATAAAAAGCAGCAAAAACGAAGTATCTTTGATTAATAAACGGAGAGCTGAATGCAAAAACATAGTCTACTTTTTGTCTTATCATCAACCGTGCTTCTAAAATTTCAAAATGCAGAAAAAGTGTTTCAAAGTCATATTAACTTACGATATCTAGTGTATGCAGAGTACTCGAAATAAAAAAAAAAATCGTGCTTTCTTTAAATACCACAACATTGAGCCGGCATCACTTACATTTTGAATAAATGACATTAAGTGATGGGATGATTAACACAGTAAGTGCGACACCCATTATGTTTTAGCGTTTCATTTTTTATAGCTCTCTGGATGGTGTTTTTGCCGTAAAGTTTTACAACGCGGGGTATAGACTTCTCTTTTCCAAGCCCGAAAAAGTTTCATCTGACAGGTCCATTTGATCTGCTTGTCGTTCTTCTAAGCATTCAGTTGTTTAGGAAAACAGCACACATCATACATCCGACAACATATCCGGTCACTTTTAATATAATATTATCTTTACTACAAAAACCTTGTACAGGTAGCTCAGGCTACCGACAGGGCGCGTTCTAGTCGTAGCGCAAGATGAAAACGCGCCGGTTCCTTTGTGTGGTGTAGTACACAAAGGTACTTTTTCGCGTGCCGTTATTAAAGCTCAAAATAGATATTTTTATCATTTGTCGCGTTGTCGAGGTCCAGTAGAGTCTACATTTAATCCAAAATTTTTTGATAAAAATATTTTATGATGCTAATGCATTAATCGAAGCTAATATAGTATACACAAGCAAAAACTTGCATGCAGAAAGAAAAACCTACTTCAGTGTAAAACAAAATGCCATTCATCGAGAACAAATTTCTCAGCAGTTCATATTGTTTTATAGTGTTATTCGCTATAGTTGTTATTTATTACAGTCAAGAATAAAATTAACAACTTCGAAGTAAAATACTAAAGCTTACGACAAATGTAAGCTGCATAGCGAATCGTTTAGCAATTTGCTTACCACAAGAACGATTCCCGTTTACTAGCTCTCAACTCCGGCCACAGATGCTGCGACCAAAAATTTACGAAAGAAAAAAGCTTGACTACTTAGCGCTAGTCAAGTCGGTTTGATCGACTCTTTGCGCTTCAAGTGTAAATGCAGCCAGAAAAGTAGTAGTTTCACATAGAATACGCAAACGTTTTTAAAATCTTTAACTCAAGTCAGTGAAGGTGTTATGAAAAATGGCAATGCATACATGTACAGGAATTCGGATGCAAACAGGTCGTGAAAAGAATATTGTTGACATATCAGTATTGAAACATATAATACGAAAATGTTGCTAAGAAAAATTCTGCGTGAAGGAAAATGTTTTTCGTTGAATACCCCCTTCGCTTATTTATGGGCGTCAGAATATTAACGCAACATTTAGTGACAAAGTGAGTTATACTCCCAAACGTTCAATACTATGTTAAGACATTTAATGCCACTTCAATTTCTCCGTTAAATGCGGGGTTTTCTAGGTGTCGGCATATCAAGCCCTCGCTAGGTGTAAGGATTGGTTGGGGCGCAATACACACTTAGAATTTTTGAACTCAACCCACAGATTCTAAAGACTTCGCAGGTGTCTAACCATTTCATTAATTTTGTGGTCAAGTTTGCGGGTCATCGTTGTAACCCTACCTCTTCTTTTTCGGTACAACGGCAAAAGAGGCATATCGTTATACAGCGTTGATAGATTTTAGTTCTGTCAAGGAATAAAAGCAAAATTGGAACCAATATTGTGTATTTCTACAAAATAGCCTGAACTTTTTTGAATTACAGTTACAGCTGACAAGCTCCAAATATTTACAGCCCTTGGCAGGCCATTTCTTCAACTAGTTAAGGCTCAACTCCAAGGGGATTGTACGGAGAAAAATATCTTTCTTATCAGTCAAATATGAATGAAAAAGTTGAATCAAAGTACAGTCTTCAATGAGAAAAATTTTTGTTCCCTTTCTTGAGCTTAAGACCTGACCCTTATACAGTTGTGGCACGAAACGAATTCATTTCCTGTTATTCTATAGATTTCATCCTCTCGAATGTATTGGCGTCACAATTAAACCATTGATATGAATATACATCGTGAGAATTAGCACATTATGCTTACATCTGATAAAAAAAATGGAAGCTTAAGATGGTTGACGTCGATAACCATACGGCAGATTATACTTCCGATGTCATTTTTATTATTCACTATTGTTATCGGTAGCTTGGACTGGTAACTTTCTAGGTGGAAAAGCCAAAAGTCACTGGTTTAAGCCCCGCCAACAATATATACCGCATAACAGTGGTGATTAAATGATAGGGCGTTATTCATTACTGGAAGTCAATACTTCCGATAAGTCTTCAGCGCTAATACCCATTTATGTATTACATATTATGGTATTTGCATAAAACACGGAACCTTACGATACCATTTTTATAACTGTATTTAATATTTGTGTTTCCTAAAGAACAAAAATATAGCCTACGGGCTTAAGCACTCTGTGCCACTATGCATATACACTAGACGATCATGTGTGAGCCTACTGCAACGATAATGATCTATTTAATGTGCAAAAACTTTGATTCGGAAGCCAATGACACTGGCAATTAACTAAATTGCATTTTTTTTAATAGGCCTGTCTCAATAAAAACGATAGTATATACACATGGCTGGTTTCATTAACTTGGATTGTTTCATGGCTCTCCTCCTAATCGCCTCATGTTTCTAGCTCAGCTTATATTCAGATAATTCAATCAGAAGCTAAGCCGGTTGTCTGGGTCCAAAAATTCAAGTGTCAATTTCGGTGTTTCAAAATTTTTAGATATCAGCTGACCGCTGCTCATAAGAAAGGGTATAGTAAATCGTACGTACTTAAGACGGGCGCTATGGTTAGAGCGGCACGCGGCCCTTTTTTTGTTGAAAAATATTCGTTGAAGAACAGCGTTAAATACCGATTCAGTCATGCTTTATTAAGTTTCTGAATAAATGTGCTAGCTTTTATCCTGCAGCTGAGCGTCCATTTGTGTATCAGTTACGATGAGGAACAGGGGCCATATCTAATTACACTTTTGGGAGCAGAAGTACAGTGCCCTATTTGTGGGACGTTAAGGGCATTAAGTCCATCGCCCTATAAAAAATACTTCCATGACAAAAGGCTTGCGACAAAGATACGTATTTATTATATTGCAAAGTATATGGATTTAATAGGCTTAAATACATTACATCTTCTTGTAAAACATCCTCGTTTATTACTGACAATGTATTCAAGCGTGCTTCTAAGGCATTCTTAAAGATTTGGAGGCGCACGCCTCAGTTGTATCATATCTGAACTGAGTACCGCTTGCGTAATCCGCAAAGATCTATAATACTCTACATTGTCACAGTCTAATTTCAACGCGGAAACTCTTGTATGAGGCATCATATTTAAGCATTTCTCTTGCTAGCCATTTTATCAGTCGTCTCCTCTGCTGAAACAAAATAAACATTATTAAAAAGCTTATATTATAAAAATGAAAATAAAGGAAAACATAATTTGAGGAATAATTAATATATGAAATGTAGCCAAATTACAAATTATATTTTAGGATCTTTTAATAAGGAGTAGTTCTCTGTATTTATGTGGAATACGACATGAAAAAAATGTCTACCTTGTTTTTCGGCATAGTCTTAAGAACCTGTCAGGATAACTCTTTATCTAGCGATCGATATATCCTATATCGCTTTCCCCCCGATAGCATTTTTAACATGTAGCCCCGCCTTTTTTTGTAAAAACTGCTATGGTTCATCGTCTGGCTCCTGGAAAGTAAATTAAACAGTACGTCCACATACCAAAATATGAATCGGTATAGAATTTTGAGTCTGAAAGTGTTTTAGGTTAACTTTAGATCAAAACAATTGATGTGGTTGATATTCACATTGCAGTATCGAACACGAAAAAACAATGCGTAGTAACAGTAGTGATCAAATTTAATTCATGTAAAATAATAAAATAGTAAACAAAAATGTTTCTTTAATAACAATATGAGCTACAGCAGCCGCAAAAGCCAAACGTAATATGACGTAGCTTTAGTTTAATATGATACCGACTTCCTTAGCAAATTTGATGTTCATAATCGCACGTTTATAAAACGCGTAATGTAATGCTCATTGTTTTAAATTGTGAGAACAACGATTGGCAGAAAAGTCGTCTGCTGAGGGCGACGCGCGGGATCACAAGTAATAGACAAGCAATATAAGGTAAACAGCAAAGACTATGAGAGAGAAAAAAAAAAACGCAACTTTAGGGAGCTTGCCATTGGTTGTTAACGTTTCTCGGCTTCTTTTTGCCGACCTCTTCTCCGCTTTCTGGTTGACTTTGCTGACGTCGGCGATTTCTGCTGGGGGTCATCAGCAACTTACAAAGGATCACGACGACTTCAGTATTTCGGATTTTTGCTCATCCACATCAAGATAAATACTGCAACATCTATTTTAATCAGGTGCGCTTGTCCTACATAGTGGAGTGGTATGCTATTACCGTAATGTTTTTTTTTTTACTGTGACTAAAAACTATGCTTACATGGTTACATTCACTACAGTGCAAAATTGATCGGAAAAGAAAAGGAAAAAACAAGTTTTTTTTTACCCACGATACGTTGGTTGTTCATGGCTGTGTACATATGTGGTTAAAAACCGCAAAAATTTTCAAAATGCAAATCCAGTAAGACTTGAGTGCTAATAATGATAAAGCCTTGTTTGTATAATTTATTAATCAAACATATCTACTCAACAATAAATCCAATTTTAAGGTGTGTTATCTCTGAAATATTGTAACTAGATTGACGAACTCTGTTCTTTCAAAGTCATGTCAGCGCTGAACCAAATCAATATTAAACAATGCAGTTATTACGTTTAACAAAAAAAAGTGAATATAAGGAGGTAAACTCTAGATTCAATTTATATTGAATTAGCAAATTAATAATGTATAAAATAACCAAGTTATCATAATCCAGTTACGATAATTGAGTTGCTTTTCGATAGAACACAGCTATTGTTGATTACCTATTGCTATTTTCATGTATTATGTTAATTTCGATTCAATTGGAGCCTCATTTGGACGTGTTTGTTTAATTTTTTATTTAAATATTTTATTACTAATCTTTCAATTTCCGTTAACGCACAATTTAATCGTGATTGCTTTTTGTCATACATGGGTTTCACTATCTGAAATAATAAACCAGCTAATAAATATAACTTTAGAGATTTTCTGCTAACGTGTTTGTTATATGCGAGACATTTCTCAAAAGACCTCGCACTCCTTGTACGTAAACAGGTTATTAGACATAATACCTGGAAGTGGTTCTATGTCTGTTTTGCACAAATCTATGACACATCTGTTTGGATTTTCAATAAAATTCCGAAATAGGTGGCATAAGCATGTAAGACATGGAGTGGCCCTTATCTACAGCCTTATGGGAAATTTTATCGGATAGTCACATACCTTCGTAATTTGAATATGCTTTCCTTCTCTCCGTTTTTGTGGTATTTGACTAGCCGTGCTTCGTGAAATTTAATATTACTTGGAACAGAAGTACATAGAGAAACAGGAGAGTGGTTTATCTTGTCTGCAATGTGACGGTAGTTAATGATATATAATCCAGTAACACCTTTTGTTAATACCAAATACTGCTAATATTGTCAGTATTACTACTACTACAAATATTTGTATTCAATATGAACAGCCTGATGTTGATGTGTGATTGCTAAGGACTGGGTTCAAAAGAATGAATTAGTTTTCTTTTTCCACTTAGTAGCGATATTTTGTCCTTTTCTATAGGTGAAATTTTCAGAGCTCGCAATAAATGACCAAATATCCTTGTCAGCGCTGCTCCGATTGGCGTTTAGTTTTTTGCTGCTACTGCTAGCTCTGTGGATGTTGCAGATGGCTAGAATCCTTATATAGCGTAAAATGGCAGTAGTAATAATGAGCTCCGTTTTCCTCTTTCTTGTTCAATCAGAAGCCGGATGAGGACGCATTAACTGTCCAGCCTCGGTTGTTAACACACAGGAGTCTCAACGTAATCAGCGAAAAATTAGGCTGCTTTAATTTGACATGGTCAATCGTTTGGGCGCTCTCTTTAAACTTTTTCATAATAAATTAGTTTTATAATGGAATTTTTTTCTAGGAAGCTTTTCTTAACCGTTGTGATTTTTATCTGGATATTGATATAAAGAAGTCCGTACTTTTGCTGATTTAATTTATTTTTCATTGCGTATTGACATTTCGCCGATATCACTTGAGTAGTGTTTTCTAAAATTAAAATTCCTTTAAATTGATAGATGAATTAATTCTTGCTGCTACTCTCAAAAGAAACCACAAAACTATCTTTAATTTTAATCCTTTTGACAGATCAAAGAAGGATTTTTTTTTTTTTAAATAGAGGTCAACAAATAGAAGTGGGCTTTCGAGAAGGGATTAAAAAGTTTCCTTATAGTTTGTTTTGTGTACATGTGTTTCGTCTATTTCAATCATTCTATTCATCGATTGATATGAACTTTGCTGATGTTTGCACATGAACTCTGTCGAGTTTTCAAAGAGTCATTACATGCAACTTTTTGTTTGCCTTGTATATATGGAGTTTATGCATTATGTAATAGGCAAATAGTATAATGTTATCTACTCAAAATTATACATCAGAATTGCATAAAAACTGGAACTGAATACCTGAAGCCTTAGAAAATGTAAACTCAAGTCCACTTACAAAGCATTTTTTTAAACAAAATGTGAGCTGAAATTAAAGTATTTTTAAAATAGTATTCAACCTATGCTGCTTGTACTTTATAAAAAGGCAATCGTGTAAACTGGTGGATTCACAGATTCACAAGTCTGTTAGACTGTAAGTGTTATCAAGTAAAATTTTTCCTGGACAAGCGGAATCGGATGCTGTAGTAGTCATCTGTTATCATAATCTAAAAAAGGCGATCTTCTACGGTTATGTTGAATTCTTCGTTAAATTCGTATATTAACTGCATTTTCACTAAAGATTACCTCCTTCATACTGCAAAATGGGGAGCGCTCTAGTTATGGAAATCGCCTGAAGTGCATTCATTTGTACGCCTTGCAAAATATTAAGATTGGTATCGCCCTGTCTCACTGCAAATATGGTGAATGTAAAATGTGGTTACTGATAAGGAAAAACATCGCTGTTTGCACTCGTGCACGATTCTCTGATTTCTATGACGGTAGTTGGTCTTGTGTGTTGTAGACAGCGCTAGCAACTTTTTTCCTCTAAATTTGTTTAACAATGGGGCCAGCGAATCGTCTGGGCTATATGATGCTCGATTATATTTATGTATAAATTTCCGAAAATTCACACGGAACAGAGGTGGTGCCTGCCTATTTTACTGAATTTGTAACGAATTGTGTGATTTACGAAGTTTCTAAAGAAAAATGTAAATTCAGAGAAAAATAAAAGCTATGTTGTTAGGAATTGTTGTTCCATATGTAAGCCTCGGCTTTTAGGAAGTACTGCCTAAATTAATCTGTATTGTTTTTAGATACAATTAAAACCCTAAAAGCCTCACTATGAGCTTACGACAATGATTTAAAGCCTCACTATGACCAACGCAATTAAGTAAACGTATGCTTGAACAAATGCACCCAGTCTATAATCCACTTCATTAGATTTCCTGTAGTGACATTATATACTATATTTCGGGTGAACTGTATAGTATAAATCGTATCAAATAGTATAAGCCAATGACTTCAGATGGATTATTATTTGTATTTATATCTTGATTAAGTTTAACTTTGAGAAAGATAGAATTTAGATCTGCACAGACACAATGCTTGTGCAAATATGGATTTCTTACAGTAGAAAAGCTACATCCAAATGAATATAGAGATTTCTTTGTATGCACTACGGTATGGTTTCTGTTGCTTACTTTTAGACTTATTATGGTCTTTTCTATCATGACATTATTGTCATCTAGGATTAACAATTTAAGAGTAAGCAATTTAGATGAAGATCTGTTATGTGTAAATTTACTTACACTCTTGATTTTTTTTATCATATAAGTTATTGGATTTCGGTTCATTAGAAACTATAATATTTTCAAAATATACTTCTAGTTTGTTATCTGTGGGACCTGTAAGTCGTGGGGTTTTTCTTTTGCCTTTTTCGAAACGAAGTTTCGATCGACTCTTCCACCACCTCCAATGAGTCTGGGGTGTAGCTTAAACAAAATAGTCCCAAACACATGAAATAGTCCCAGCTTCTAGTAAGATGTGGTTTCCCCGCGAATGGTCTAGGCACTAGAAAACTTGAATAATGTCCTATACAGTTACATATTCATGACTCATGTGCATTCCAGGTACAATAATATGAACGACTGTTGATATGCTCAGTTAGAAAGTACCTGTATTTCGTCGTTTTTTTTTTATCTGTATTACAGATTGGTGCACTGAAACGAGGGCTAAAATGGATGATAGTAGCCATTGCAAATTTTTAAGTACCGACGTGTCGTTTTCGTCGCGGCTTATTTTCTACTTGGGGTTGTTATTTCTTGCAATTATTGGGGCGCGTTTTTTACAGTCGATATGTCGAGGTTTGTACCATTGCTTCATTGGTCAATTACTAGGACTTAACGTGAATTTCAAGAAGTACAAAGGGAAGTGGGCAATTATTACTGGAGCCTCGGATGGCATTGGTCGTGCTTATGCTGAACAGCTCGCTGACAAAGGCCTCAACGTCGTTTTGATCTCAAGGACTCTTTCGAAGCTCAAAGAAGTAGCTTCTTACATTCAAGAGGAGTCCAAGGTAAAAGTAACGTAAAACTAGTTAATGGGTTCCTCAAAACAGGAAACTACTCACAAATAATTTAATTGTCTTGTCATATAATTATAAGTCCATCTTGGTATACAAATTTCTAATTTCTTGGTATCTCTAACTAAGAAACCGTTCTTTGATCAGTTTTGAGTATCACAAGGCAAGTTTGTGATTTGGCCTATCGCATAGAACAATGATTAGTTTTAAGCAAACGTCTGTATACTATTGGTTACCTGAAAAAATCGCTTTGTAAAGCAATGGTAAAATTAAATATAAATAATTATAACCTTAACATGTGGGGTCAACTATTGTCTTCGTAAAAAGTTTTGACAGTCGGGGTTATTACATGAAACTAACTTTCTTATGACGCTATAAAGGTCGAGACAAAAGTTCTCTCTGTTGACTTCTCATCAAATGATCGCGGCTGTTACGATGCAATCAAAACGTTTGTGAAGGACCTGGAAGTAGCTGTACTTGTCAACAATGTCGGTATGAGTTTTCCTTACCCGGAATACTACACACTTGTACCTGATGGCGATATTCTCATGGATCAACTCATACAAGCTAATTGCACAGCAGCTACGCTAATGATGCGTATAATTCTGCCTGGAATGACGCAGCGTAGAAGTGGTGTTATCATTAACATTTCTTCTTTGTCCAGCATGTACCCGTTACCTTTGCTTAGTGTCTACGCCGGTACCAAAGCATACCTTGACTTCGTCTCACAGGCCGTTGCTACAGAGTATAGGCAGTTTGGAGTAATTGTTCAGTCTGTAAAACCGGCATTCGTTTCGACCAGAATGTCCAAGATCCGCCAAGCAAGTATTAACGTTCCCACACCAAATGCCTACGTCAAACAGGCACTCACTACAGTTGGATTGGAATCGTCAACCTATGGATACATACCTCATAAAGTGCGAGGATATCTCCAGGAGGTTGGTACATATTGAACTGTCACTACCGGATCTTCGTACTGGTAGACATGATACCTAGATACTATGTCGGTTTGTATATATGACCACAGACCATCACTGGTTGTGTTTAGTGGGGAAATAATTATATTTATTCGTTGTAATTGAGTTTCGTATTTAGTCAGCTCTTACGGTTAGCTTTCGTGTTAATTGTAATCTTACATCCTCGCTTATGTTATTTTGTATTTGCTTCTGCTAACCTATTTTAATCAGGAGTGTCCAATTTATGTAGCCTAAATTTAGTGGCTACAAAAATATTCAGATCTCAATTGCATGCTCCAAATTGTTTCGCAAGGATACTGGATGGCAACAAGCAGCTTTCTCTTAGTAGTATGAAAGAAGCTAGTAAATGTTTTTTTTTCTTTTCTCAACGCTTGCTTTGGATTGTAATAACAGGGGTTTAACTCCGATCATTTACCTGATAGATACTTCTTGTATAATCAGAAGCCTAAAACGATTTTTAGTTTCACGGGCTACTATCTTTTAGCGCATTTAATTTTTGCTATGCGTAATATATACTTCTAGAAAACTGGTTTAAATGATTTTCATGTCATTTCTGTTGTTGGCGAAATGTGTATTTTTGGATATTTTAGCAGTTCAAACATTTGCCAGACCATTCTCTTCTAATATGCATGATGTTAAGCATCGGTCGGTTTATTTGCAGGTTGCTTTTACCAGTATGCCGATCCACTGCATGCTGGCACTATCGCTTCGGGTGATGGCTAGTCTGCGAAGCATTCGATACAAGAAAGATGCGAAGGAGGACCCATTCAAGAAATCAAAGTCCAGTTAATACTTTTGAATCTGATTATTTAGACTTCTTAGAGTTGGGTATGGTCAATGTATTTATAAGAAAAATGATACAGCTTCTATTGTTTTGTTGTAAACACAGCAGCCACGGTTCGAACGACGAACTCTCTTATTTGTGTCAATTAGTTCAATACACAGAAATAGGAGAATGAATGATCGGCGAAAAAATATCATTATCGGGGTTAGTTTAGTAAAATGAATTTTGGCAGTAATAGTGGTACCTGATTTTAATCAAAATGTCCACTAACCCATTATTAACAGAACACAGCAAGCGAAGTTGTTTTTGTATCAACATGAAGCACATTAATATGTTCTTCTTTTTTGAAACTTTATTAATCTTCTTCGTGACATTGTATGAATGCAGATTTATCTTGAAATGAAATGAGAAGTGCTCGAAATCAGTGATTAGTTTCATCTTGGTGGCTTTTTGTCTGTTTCTTTTGTGGTAGGACGCACAGAAATTAACATGTTGCTGAACTGAACTCAGATAAACTGACATACGAGGTTACTTAAAATTATATATATAATCGGATACAAGTCTGCTATGGGACCATACACCAGTAGTTAACATCGTCATTAACAGAAAAACATGACGTTCGATACTCAAATAAATTTTTGTAACATGAAACATGTGCACTTTGATGAAGCTTAATAGAGCATAATGGACGTCTAGGAAAGTTTGCACATTTTTGTGTTTTCCAGTTGTCAGCCAGTATTTGCCATTTGATATTATAACTGCTTAATTTTATGAATCGAATTTACTTAGGTGGTGGTTTTTTTAATAATGCGCAGACTTATTTCCTTGTCATATTCACATTACTAGTTTATTTTACAACCATAAAATACCCTACTGCTGAATACAGAATGCAGGATATTAAGAAATACTTGTCACAAGATTTTGCTTATTTCAGTTGTTCTACACATTTTTGCAGCTTATATTAATGCAATTTTTTAGCAAGCAATAAATAATATTGAAAATAAGCTGAAACAAATTGGTCCCGTTTTCATTTATACATGCTTAATAGCAAGTGCATGTAATTTCAGATATTTTGAGGTATCGAAGAATTAACATAATCTGTATGGTGTCTAATTCAAAAACTATGTAGATTGTTAATTTTTTCAGCCTCTTACGACGAGTTATACGTCCAGTAAAAAATAAAGTTATTTTGGTCAATCCGTCTATGATTTTTAAATAATGGATTTTCATATAGTCGGTTATGCTAGCCTGTCTAGTATATTTACTTTCAGTAACCTACTACAGTCTTAAAACTTGACTTTGTAATAGTGCTGAACATCGTAGGGCTCTTTTTTGCTGACGGGCTTCAATCTTCACAATAAAGATCTCACACACTGAACAGAGGTTTATTTTAAGCCGGCAGCCTTGTGGCACATCTATTTCCAAATACCGATTACAAAAGCAATCAAAATTGAATAAAAGAAGAGAGAATAGCTAGATATTGTTATATGACCATAGCCTTACTGAATGCTCTCAGAAATTACGAGGACTTCAGTTTTCACACTACAGGATATGGGGCGTCATCCTTGACCACTTTAGCAATTTTATAAAATTCCTGATAAGAAATAACTCGGCCATCAATTCTAGAGAGCTGATTATTAAACACAAGCGAAGGAATAAAGTCATTAAAGGTTTTCGATATACGGAGTCTTTTAAAAAGTTTATGCACAGTTTATTACTTATTATTATTTACGTATAATGAATTAATAATATGTATCAAATGTATAGCTTCTCCCTTTACTTTAGATGCTCACTTTAATATAAACACTTTATTTGACGTTGTGGCGCATTTTTATTCAACTGCGGCGTTTAGATTTTCCAGTGGCACCCATTGGCCACATTTTTTAGGTATCCCAACAAAAAAGCGATACATGTCAGAGAACTCTGCGGGGCCGCTTCATCGAATTCATTTGCTCGGAAGATCCTCATAAAAGTAAGCCTTTACATCACGATTATAGTGTACAGCTACGCTGTCTTGTTTATAATAAAATTTGCTATTCCAATGCTTCCGGATACGTGGTAAAAAAACTTCTTGCAAGTAAAATTAAGTATTTGGCACTAGTCGATGTATTATCAGAAAATAATGATCTAATTAGAATGCGTATATTTCTTGAGACACCCTGTTTAGTAATTAGTCAAATAACTATTGAAACTCGTTTATATGAGTTATCTGCCATACATGATCATTATTGTTTGTGTGAAATAGGGTTTCAATAAACTGGTATATAGTGGTATATAGCACATCCTAAGACAAAAAAATGGCAAGCGTATAATAAATTACGGTTCGCTTACCTGTACGTATCGTAATATGTAAATTCAAATAAGCAATGTTATAGAAATGAACTACAACAATCAGCGTGCCTAGTTTTATCATATCCATATCTTTTCTGTGCTGATGTAGATGATTTCCTAACTCGGTTTATTTTATATTGTGTTTGACTTATACTAACATTTAAAATGTCATGTTAAAAAGATGCAACCCCGTTTACAGCAGCCGGAAAGCTGCTTAAAACGGTTAGGATGTGAAATAACTATTCTGGGCAGCTTCTTTTATCAATATTGATATGTTAGCCATTTGTGCCGCACATGCTACGAAAATTGCGCATGTTCTTCATTGGCGAAGAGAAATGAAGGATGGTATGTTTTCAAGGAAACCGCTTCTTTAAGATAAAAAACATTCAATGTTAGTGAAAACAGTAGGTAATTGTGGCAGATTAAGTTTTTCTTAAAACAGGTTTCTTCCTCCATGTGTAATAATAGATTCAAACTCGTCAAACGGTTTTAAGTAGAAAAATTATTTATGGCCCATTTTGTAGATCGTCTCCTTCAAGCAGAACTATGGACTCCAACGGGCCTTTAAAATTTCTTGCCAAAACCTCAGAAACCCCTTAGTCAATCACTTCATCGAAATAAGCTGAAATATTAGTGAAACATCTTTTTGTTGTTGTCTTATATTTAAGGTAAGTTGAGATTTTGTTGTATCGTTGTGTTACTGCTTATACCATTATAACATAAGCTATTGCGCCACAGCTATTGTAACAAACCGAATTGTTTAAAGCAATGACGCGGAATATGAATTCATTTAAATGATATGTAACTTTGTCAGCCGAGGAATTCTAACGCTTTTGGCTTTCGTTGCTAATCAGAGGTCATACAGCGAGAACCCTTAGCTCATCTATCATTGCGATTAAGCATAGTATTTTTATATTATAGTCTTATTATTAATTTATACAACGCAAAATCATTACATCTAAAAAGAATAAGAACATAGTCGTTTCTTGTACGTAACAGTACGTAAAAGCCAGGGTTAATGGAATTCTACAGATGATCCATAAATAGTTCTAACTTTATACCACTTTGTTCATTTTCGCGTCACAGGACAACAGCTTAGGTTTATTTTCGCAAAAAAACACCCTCACACAAGTGAAATTTGATAACAGTCTGGTGCAATATCAAGTGCTCTGGTGAGATTGAGTAGGTTTATGTATTGAATGATCCGAGATTTTGCCCAAATGGAGCAGCGACCATTAGGTTTTACGTAAAAGCAAAAATAGATCGCACAAACACTCAGCGGATATTCTAGAATTTCTACGAAAACTAGAAAGCGAGAGTTCAAGTAAAAACCGCACAAAGATCCATCAAAGATGATCTACATTCTGGAAGGTGACAGTAATCACGGAGAGAGCATAGTGCACCTTATGGTCGACAAATAATTATTCATAAGCTCATGCTTTGGCTCAACGGTCACCAAGGAGTACTATCAAAAAGCTTTAACAAGACTATCTCTGTCCCACGCAAGGGACCTGAATCATGGCACAAAACATTCTGGGTGCTCTGTCGCGGTCCGTACCTCACTACTTGTACAGCATTTTTTTCTAAAAAAATTATGTGTGTGTACCCCCAAACCCTGTATTCACCGGACCGGATCCCCTATGATTTTTTACTCCCAAGGAAAGCGCTTTGACACGATAAAGGAAATAAAAAGAAAACGCTTATTGGGCTCAAAGATATCTCAACGATTCAATTTGAAGTGTCTCGAGAACTTGAGGGAAAAAGCGGTGGCATAAATATGTTGCACTCGCCAGCGCTTACTTCAACGAAGACAACTTGAATCGACGCAACTAGGTAAATATTTATTAATGCGATGCAAACGACTTTATTTTGAACAAAAGGTTATATATATATATATATATATATATCTAAAGACGGCGTAGTCGTGTTTAATATAAAAAAATGTTCTTCTTAATTTATTTATTTATTGAAATTTCGGTCAATTTTATTGAATTGTCTGCTAATACTACCCTCGTAGGATCCAGTCAACAAGCATAAGAAGTGTTCAGAAGCTAGTTAAAAATAAAAAACATTGCCGTGACATAGCAGTGGAAGAGTGTGGACGGGTACGGCTTTTTTGAATCATTGCTCTATTCTTCTGCTCAGCTGATTTTGCTTTGATTCATAAATACATAACAAAAAATAGAATTTTCAGTAAACCGACTGCGTAGGCTTAGAAGATTATCGGGTTAACATAATCGGGACACAACAAATCACGTGGATTGTTGCATTCTACCAGCTAACTTTTATTCGACCTTTTACTGCACTAAGACTATGTTAATTGACTGCAGGCGAAAATTTATGTCTCCTTGTATTCTCGACAAAAAAAAACTAGGAAAATGTTAATGTTTAGTAGTTCAAATGATCTTGTTATTGTTTTGTTATTGTCGTTGTCTCGCAGCATGCCGCGACACTTACCTCACTCAAAGCTCGTTCATCCGTCTAAATGGTGTCATTACGTTGCTAACTTTCAATAGAGCTTTCGCTAATAACGCTAGCTGTTGTTACCAAGTTCTTATAACAGGTGTGCCGGTTATCTAATCTTTTGTGGGTAATTCAATGGCTTCATAGAACGATTCAAGTCAAGGTAAGTATTAATTTACTCAATTGTCAACCCGGGTAAGACGCTTTCGGGCTTCCGAATCGCTTAAGAAAACATTATTAATCTCAAGACTCGATCTTACGATAACTCATGTGTATCTCCTAGCTTTCATCCAACTCACATCCAGGCGTTGTGAAAAATACAGGACAATTGTATGTATTTGACTGTTTGGTTTCGAGCTGGGACTGTTGCATTATCTCAAAAACCAGCAGTAATCCTCCAGCAGTAAAGATTTTTACTCCGCCGATACCCATGAAAGATAAGAGGACACCGCTGGCATCTTATCGCTGTTATCTTTAACTGTTGGCTTGGTACTTTCGGGTTCTTCAATCTGGAATTTTACGGTGCTGAAGGATTCCTCGCTGTCGAAGATTAACGGTTAACTATTACTTGAGTGCGCGATCATATTTCGAGAATTGGTTATAATCAACACTACTGTTTTTCCGGTGTCTGGTTCTGGTGCGGCATCCGTAATCTATCACTTAAGTCATCCTAAAATTTGTTCACGCGGCAACATTTCACACAATGCAAGTGCAACCAGTAGATCCAGGCTCTGTCGGAGCACGCGTTGAAAATAATAAATTATGAAACTTAGTGTTACGGAACTAGTGCCGAAGAGATTGGTATTGGTTTGCGTAAGCTATATGCAATAAATGTATGTGAAAATGGGCTCTCTTTATACAAATTTGAACGCAATTTTCATTTTCACGTCTACTGGGACTATAGAGCTAAGAATGCGAACTTCGACAAAAGTTCACTTTTAAGGTAAACATCAGTATGTCTTACTTACACTTATTTTGATTATCATTTATTGAGATGTGAACATGTATAAACATAACAGGTCAATATGAAATATAAATTTTGCTAAAGTGGTGAATGTTGAACACACATGAATGAATATATTTATTTGAATTGATATAAAAAGACCTCCCACACAGGTCTTATTATCTGGTAAATTCCTACAGGCGTGCTTTACGACATGCGACTCAACGGGGCGATTACTTAACTCTGAACTGTTAAATTTCATCAGATTCGTTAATACCTTTTAAATCACGTATTGTACCGTATTTTCTTGCATCCAACGCGCTATCTCGGGACGTGCGCCCGTTTCACAGTTGGTCCAATAAATCTCCTGTTCACAGGCAGTTCTAGCTTTGGCTGACCAGTCCAAGTTATTTTTAAAAATGTCTATGGTCTTTCATCCAGTGACACCTCCGCAATTATACGTTCACTATACAAATTCTTTTTCTGCGAAAAGGTCGCTTTAACGTTATTTATAGTTTGCTTGCCGCAAGCATGATGCACGAATTAGCATACCGATACGACTCGGCAACAAATCATGCATTCTGTGCTATACTTCCGCATCGTTTTCTTTTAATTTCGAAACTATTTATAAGAAGCCTCAAAACCCAAGAGGACGAACTAAGTACATATATTTTACTTAATTCGTCCATTTCGGTTTTCTCTTTACATATATATATATATATTACCAAACGCTTGTAAGCTAAATACGATACATTTCGACTGGTGATTATACATTATGATTGTATAGACTATTAGAAAACTATAACCAATCACCTATTTTGACCCAAAATATTGATTTGCTATAATTCTAACCGATTTCATATTGCTGATGCCGCTAATAAAGTATTTGTCCTATGTGTTTTTTTTCTTATTATATAATTGCATTTAAATAATAACACATAAATACGCAAACAATTAACTGTTTCAGATATGTCGAAGTATACCCTTTATATTACTGGTCATTGATGAGGCGTAGAAATAAGTACGTCCCGATTTGTAATTCTAATTGACATTCCGATACATCTTTAAACTGACTTTTATGTATCTTCAACTATGTTCGCTTTCTGAATTTTGCTTTCAGTATGGCTACTACCAATGCGGCCTGTAGTCTCTGTAGGCAGGACTTCTATTTATGGGTACAGAACTTTCCGAACTATTACTGTACTGTATTCGTATTGGCTGTCAGAATATTATTGAAGTCAACGAAGCATTATCCCTCACCCATGGTAGATTCCGGCTTTAGCAGTTTACACAAAGGCTTTGACATTGTGCTGGTGAGCGGTTGTTGCTGCCTACATAACGTAAGAGCAACATTGGATGCTAAGTATCGTCGACATTCGTTGAGGTTAAGCGGGCAATAAGTCTAGGTTCGCAAATTGTCCCGTTTAGTGTGTTCCCGAAGGATCTAATCAAGAAACCGTCGAGGGCCGACAGGTGACTGACGGACGTACACCTCCGAGACCAAATACATGGTAACTCACTGGACAAGTTAATAATCTCAATAGCCGAACTTGGATATGGAACAATTAAAGTTGTGGGCCATCATTTTACATTATCATTCTAATTTCTCTGCTTCTGCTACTAAAGTAAATGTTTGTCGTTTTAGATCTATTATTGGCTTATCTTATATTGGCCACAAGCGTTATGCCAGATGAAGGAATAATTCGCTGCGGTCAGGTAGTAGCAAGCTTTTTTTCCTTGTCAAGAAGTCGCGGTTACAGCTACTGCTTGGGTAGTCGCGAATTTCAAATTTATGTGCTCAAATTATACGCTTCCATTGAACCTATTCGGAATTTACGAAAAACCTTAAAAAATAAGTGAAAATATTTAAAAGCGTATATTCAAGCTCGATAACGGTCCGAAAAAAGTAACAATTAAGACCACATTTTCTAGAATATTTCCACGATAGTTTAATCGAGAAAACATCCAGAGATAAAATTATATAAAACATTTTTATGTAAAGTGACAAACGATGATTTTTACGTTCTAGTTTCGATCGTCCCGTATGCTGCCTTTAGAACGTACAACATGTAGATGACTGCCGTTGAGTAGTCTTAAAATCTTTCACAAAGGACATGCGCTATTTAATACATTCTTCCGTTATCTCTGGGGTGTCGTACTCGGCGCACTTATATAGAGTGTTTTTGGTAGGAAAACATTTAAAAAAAACGATTAACCTATAAGTGTCCGCTCGAAAACTGCTTCATTTGAAGGAACACGCCAATACGCCTTTCTAGGGACGTCAGAAAATTCCCTTGTTTTTGTCGGCATCATATAGAGCATAGTCACCACTTTGAAGGAATTAGCTGCAATTATGGTCTTGACCTAAACTGTCATCTGCTTCAAGGAAGCTTTTTACTTCGAGGAAACATGCTCTTATATATGTTTCCTGCGGATTTTTTTATGAGAATTTGGGCAGGTTGTGAAATCTCTAAAGAATACTTACGGGACAGTTCACTTTGGTGACAAATGCTAGCAGAACTATATGCTTTTTCTTGTGAGCTCTTGTTCCATTTGCAATAGCTGATTATAAGCTTCAGAGTAACGCGCCTCTTAATATTCAATACGGTCGATAATTCCGTCAAAGACTGTGAACATGTAATTTAGAGGCGCCCAAAATATTGAGTCTATATTTTCATGTTAGGCTTCTTCGACGGTATATTTACTGAAGTTTCAGGCACGAGTTGTCGATATCATTCAACACTGCATGTATGGGGCATGCATGCACTATATATAGCAACTTTTATAGTCTGCTTGTTTGTTTCTTTGTAAGCTCTATGATTACTCTTCTTCCTTCATAACACCGTTATCCTAGAAGTTTTGTATAGGAAATGATAAATGGGATCTTTCACGACGAATATAAAATCAAAGCCAGCAGCCGCCTGCTATAAAGAATACTCGTCAGTTGTAAGATTAAACAGAGCTAAAGCACTTTCGGTCTTTGAAGAACGCAGTTCTGCGATGAACCCATCTATAGCGAGATCATAGTGAAGCCCGGTACTCTGAACAATGCTCTTGTAGTTAGAGAAGGCTTGGACATTTCCGTATTCGCCAAGGCCTGACTAAAATGAGGCCTCTCAATAGCTTAAGCCACAAATACTATGGCAACATCATCAAAATGTTAACGAAGACTCCGACTTAGCCGACAGTTTTTTCACATGACGTTTCTCGTTTTAGCAGAGCAATTTCTCATTACGACGCTTCGCTTTGGCGACGTTTTTGTCTCATGAGTCACACAGATACATTTTGTATATTGGCCGATAATAAGACAAAAATTTATAAACATTTCCTATTCACTTCATAATAACTTCTCTATATTTCCGGCGTAAGGCAACGTTTCTTGAACGCATAAATCCACCACTAGGTCAAGTAGTAATTCTAGTATGATTGTTACTAGTGTTGTGATGGTCTATAAAAGCTAGCTGTTGTATTATCGCGACCGTGACACACGGATTGTACCTAGCTAGATGTACATCTGGTGCTAGTAGTTTATAGACATGAGAAATATGTTTAAATAATCTTTTCAGTAGATATAAGAGAATTTAATTAAATAAAGAACAACATCACATAAAGTATACTAGTTGACAGCGTAAAAAGAAACTAAGCCATATTATTCCATTTTATAATCATTTTATTTATAGATATTTTATAATCAAAGCATGAAGACCAATAATTGGAATCACACATAAAAATATTTGCTCCTCCAAAAACACTGATCGAAAAATCAATATGCTGCGTACAACACTCTAAGCCGCTTGATCCCTGTAAATCAAATTTTAAATATATTTTACCTGAGTTGATACAGCACATGCAGTGTTTTCCATTTTTTTTTTTGACTATATAATTAAAAAGGCACTCACTAGAGTGAATCCTATCGTTGAAGTGTACAAAAGTGGGTATCACACTTAGTTACCTTATTTGCAATCGAATACATATTCTAAACTAATAAGAAATTAATTACAAAGAAGTTAATCAGTTGAAGTTTTATATTTCTTTGCTGCTCATAAATACACTTCCCAACGATTTTATGCATTTCTGCCACCTTGAATCATTACGTGACTTTACACTCCGTCTTCATCAATTTATCAAAATAAGATAAAGATAACAATGTTACATGAGTTGCGTGACGCATGTAATAGTAATAATATTATTATGCATCGTATTTGCAGCGCTTCGGTACTTTTAATATTAATATACAATTTACGTGATCAAATTAAATCTGCTCTGAGAGACCTGAGTGGACAACGATGAAATAGTTCGACTTCCAGTATTTTGACCGTGTGGGCGTTGAAACGTGATGAAGATGACTGCCGAGCCGACGCGATCTGTGTAGTGAAAAACGAATTACTCAGTCCACCGGTGCGTGCAGGACTGATTACAACAAACATAGTACAAACGCATCTCGTCCTCGGCGCGACGCGATTGAGCCTACATAAACAAAAAAGTAAAATTAAAAAATAGATCGAACATATAGTTACAATTTATCTAAAGCCAATGAAATACAAATCTATAACGAATGAAGCTAACAAAAGAAAGAACAACAAAGATTAAAACCTCAACAGTAACTAGTGTTTTAACGTAAAAGCGGTAACATCGATTATATGAAAATAAGCGCTGCTAATTTCTAAATACATATTTATCTTTGGAAAAAAATCAGAGCATTTCACGCACTACCTGATTTTTGACAAGAAATCGTTAATAATTTAAGTAGGGAATTGAATTGCCTTTGGTATGATCACTTCGGCTGAGTGGGTCGAAAGTTCTGCCTTTGAATTCTATACTCACAATACCTGAGTTTGAATCTAGTTTTGATTTCGAGAGCAAAAAGTACATTTTCTTAGCAGTAAACATTCATATTTTGTTTTAACTACTATAAAAAGCTGTTACATGTGATTCCAAAAACAATAGCTATAATCTCAATTTTCTTGTGTGTAACTTGAGAAAAACATACTTACCCTACGAGTCTATATACATACCGTTCATCTATCTTTAGAAAATCTCAAAAAGAAATTGCTACGATAATTTTATATCTCTAATTATGTTGAAAGCCGAAACATGCAATCTATGGGCAAGCTGAGAATTATTACCTGTCTCTGAATGCTCACTCAATATTAGTCAAGGATTAATAGATGATCTAAATATTGTGATGCTTACTTAGTAAAGGAAATCGGTAAGAGATACACATACGTCTTGCTTACTAAATGGTGCAGCCTTAGACGACTGGGCAGTAAAGCAAAGAAATATTCCTCTCCCCAATCCTAATTACATTTTGAGTAACGTGTTATGCATAATAGAAATATTTTATTAATGTAATTTAAAAACAAAGATTCAGGATTGAGGGCTGAGAATTGTTTCGACGTTCGTTGTTTGCAAAGTGTGTAATCTCGCAATATGCTGATTCATTTGTGTTACACTATATCGAAAACATCGAACATTCACTTGATGGTTGAATGAACACTAGCTAACAATGACTAATCGTCTCGTTACGAAACTATTTATATATTCTCTAATTGATGCAGTACCCTTGGCTATAAAACGTACATAAAACTAGTGCAAAGTACATGTATATAAATTACATTTCGGCGGTACTCTTTATTGGCTTTTATTTTTGCACCAGCCGGGCCTGATCCATGTTGACTTCAACAACTTAGGCCGATTATAACTGCAATTTTAAGTACATGGATTATATGCCTTGTTCTGATAGTCCTTAGAAAAAAGAAAATTCAATGTCTAATGACCTTCTCTGGTAACTCGGTCTCTCAAATTTAGCGATTTCAAGATAAACATTAAATCATTCTAATTCTAACAGTAACCCCACTAACTGATTGTTATCGGAACAGCGTACTTCCTTGAAAACAGCAAACTCGGTTTTTTGCGCGTTCCAAGCTATTCTGTCCGTGAACTGCAAATACAGTACATAAATAAAATTGACTGTAGTTGGAAAAAAAAGTAGACCTGGAAAAAGACGGCTTCCCGATGGCCACACTTTGGACAGGGGTGGTCTTCAGTTCGTGGTAGGGTTGGGTCATGAATGACGTCGCTGACGATCTGCGTCAGTTCATCCACCTCGTGAGTAATCTTATTCACATATATACAATGATTGTCTGCAACCTGTAACAATACGTAACATAAAAACCATAAATAATAATAACCATAATTGACATTGCCATTTGTAACAAGTAGCATAACAGTAAATCCATGGTTTTTCTAATTTTAAACGGCAGACGTTTTCAAATCTTATACAAGTACTAACGTACCTAAAATACAGCTGATGATTGGCAGTCATTTGTAATAATACGTAACATAAGTATCATAGAAACAAGCTGACACTTTGGCCCCGCGAAATTCAGGCTCATGACTTTAGATAATCAGGTAATTAAGTAAAAGGAGTAAATATTAATTGTACCGAAAATTTGAAGTACCTGCATTCCTACTTAATTACTGCTTAATTATATAGTTTTTCTCGTTAACACGGAACACAGTAAATTGCTTATGATCATAGTATTTTCATATAATCTATAATAAGGTTTTCTGCTTTGAATGCATGAGGCATTTCATAAGGGGATTTGTCATGACCATATAGCTTACTTTGTCGTAAGGTCTCATGGGTACAAGCTCCTTAAGCGCAAATCTAATGTTTTTAACTTTACCTAACGGCTAATCCCAAGAATATTGCTGGCTTTTTTTTAAGGTAACCTGTGCCTTAGAGGCACCTGTGGCATAGAGTAGAGGCAACGAATGGCAGACAAGACCAGAAATGAAAAGTTTTGTTGTAAGTGCTTTTGTAAAAGTACCAAACTACGCGCCTATGACAGGCTTCTGTTTGTACGTTAAAAATATGTCTTTTGTCCTGTCGATACGACGCTCTCATATAGGCAAACTTAATTTTTGTATTCCAATCATGTTTTCAAAACATTCCGCGCAATCCCCATTATCTATAAAGACTATTCCAACTCTGTAACGCTTTATGTTAATTCTAAAAACGACTGATATTAAACATTTGCAGGATGGTACACTTTCACTTTAACTGCATCAATTGTGAAATTGAGCAGATTTAGGCGGAGCGTTGTTATAGCAATTTTCATAGGAACTTCATAGAGACAGCGTTAGACCGCCGGTCAGTTGAATCATGACACGGTCTAGATTTTTCATAGGCCGAGCAATATATTTTTCTTTTAGTACTGCTGATAGCTAGGCTTATTTTACTTCGGTTTCTTTTACGAAGCACTCTGTCTTTCTTGAGTTCAAGAAAAGACTATTTTTACTAGATTCATTAAACGGTTGAAACATGTCACGTTTCCTGTCCATGTTTTACCTACTAAAAATGCTTGTCTAACATCGCTAGATACGAATTGTATATCGCTACATCACGGAGACACAAAACGCATTCAGCTTCCAAACTGAGCACAGAAACACTATTTTGTGCCGGGATCACTTAGACGGAAACTGGTAAGTGCCGGACGAAGACTTGAAACATTTGATAAATCCTGGACGTCAGATTAATATTTATTTCTGAGTACTAGGTGTATCGTCCGTTTATTTGCTCATCACTATCTTTACTAAGTGTATTGTGAAAAGAAACAATAATTGCATCAATTATTATGATGTGCGAACCGTATGCTTTAGTACGGACAGATAGGGACTAAAGCGGTTTTATTTGAAGTCAGGTTACCTATATTTTTTGGCTACAATTGCAATACAACATAGTTGTACATAAAACACTATGTTTAAACTTACCTGTTGAAAATCGCAGTTTCTGCAAGCAAAAAGAAGCTGCCGATTTTCCTTATCTTCTTTAGGGTAAAGCATATTGTTACATTCCTGACAAAATTTAATACCGACAAACCCCGGTCCCGTCTCATCAATATGTGGCATACTATCCATGGCACTGTATTAAACTAACTGCACTATCTACAAAATCTTTCTCACAAAGTATAACTCACAGAAAGTATTCTCACAGAAAACTGTTCTCAACTTCGACGTAGGATTCGGACACACATGATGGTATTATAACACTTATTGGTTACTGACAAAGCAGACGATGGTGAACAGAAGAGCGCCAAATTTCGAACTAATCTGAAAAGCACTTATTCATTAATGACAATAAGGAAACCAAATATAGAAACTACCCGCGAAATCATTTACTTAAAATCAACAAAATGTATTCTACAATTTAATAACGTAAACGTCGTTGAAATTATCTCTGCGCCTAAATTTGAAACAAAAACTGTTTATGGTATATTTATGAATTCCGCAAAAATTAATTTGGAACACACACGTATTATTCAGGATAAGACCTATATGCTTTTAGGAAAATACTCTCTTTATTTGACTACCGGTGGAGTAGTTAGAAATTTACATCATTGAGGGACATGCCGTAGGGACACTTGAACAGTTCGTCGAGTCAAAGTCAGTTAATTCAAACACGTAGAAGAAATCTTAGTATCCGAATGGAGACAGTTTGATTCTTGTGAAAGTATATATTTATTAACAGGTTACATTTATACGATAATAGATGCGACTTTTAAAATGGTAACTATAAAAATTATATTTAGCTGAATCAACCAATTGTAATTTAACACACTGGCTGAATCAGAGGAAAAAATGGCTTAAATTATATCATTTAGATAATCATACGATAAAGTTATTTACTCTAAGAAATAGTGCAAGGCTTATGATTGGAAAATGCTAGATCTAATTTTGAAACCCTAAATGTCGAAATCGGTCAGTGATTGTATCCAAATGGTCATTAACAAGTGCGGGTATAAAGACTTTAGTTCCGTTAGTGGTTCGAATCTCGCAATTGACATATACTACATATACTGACCATGTTTCCAAATAAAGAAGTTATATTCACGATCACGGAACTCTAATTAGTGAATGATTTAATGCACAGTGTTTATAAATAAACATTTGCTAAAACTATTGAGGTGAGAAAAAACTCATGGCAATGTCAGTACATATTTCTAGCCATGTAAAATAGGCACGTCCACATTTTTATATACTACTTTTCTTTATTATAGGCATTAAGTAATTAACATCGCTTGTAACTTAACAGGCTGCCACATTGCCACTGGAGACAGCTGGCTAGGAGTGGTCCCTTGCGCCTTGTTTCACCGAACGCATTTACGACCACTTTTCTGTCACAGCACTAGAACTGTTCCCGATAGAGACCCTGAGTCGCCATCTTCTAATAAATTACTCGCTGGTCTTGTTTTTTACTGTCATGATCGTTCTCCACCTTTTCCACTTTTTTGCATGGTAAAAGATATCAGTTTTATGACTTTATGCTTTTTATTTATTTTTATTTATGGAATTTATTTAATTTATGGAATGGTTTTGAAATAACGTCGGTTAATGTAAAGACGCCATTTCGGGCACCCTAACATCTTTAGCGCGTTCCGCGATTACATTGCAAACATATTTCGTAGAAGCTAATTATATAACGACATGGAGATCTTTTTACGAGAAACACTACAAATTGTTCGATTCTAAACATTGTTTTCCCTATAATGGCACCCATAGGAAACAAAAAGGAAAGGGCATGAAAAAAGAGCAAGAGCATTAGTTTTTACTAAATAACCTGTAATGAGCAGTTGTCCATTGTGTTGTGTTCTTGTATTGTGTCTGAATAATCTGTCATCGATTTCTATAAATTTTTTTGTTTTGATGGAAGATGGAACTTTGAGTCAGCTGAAGGACAATTAAGCTGTTGCATACATCTGTCGGACTTTATCATAATGCTGTTTGATTGATTGATTGATGCAATAAAGCAATTGAAGAATGTTTTTTTTTGTTTTTATCGAATTGATCTACCATGGCTAGCTGTGTATTACTTATCAAGGTTCGCATGAGCATTCCAGCCGTTTTTTGTTGTATGGATGGAGACTGGCGCAACACCAAAGCATTTATTTTAGAGCCCTGCGTGGATTTGTTTTTGCACATTTGTTTTTTATACAAAGTAAACATTTGTGATTTATTAAAAAATTACGTGGGGTCTAGCATCACTCCATCTCGGTTCACTAAGTTTTTGGAGTACGAAAATAAGTTATATGTTTTATGTAAACTTAAATGTAGGTTAAAATGGGAGTTTACTTCTACATACGCATACGCGAGATTTTAAAAACAAGCCCTTAGGTACTGCATTATACTAAGTTAAGAGATGCATCATGGACTGGACTTTCCATTCGTTCGTTCATTTTTATTAACACCCTGTTTGGTTTCAATCTACGGTACGCAGGTCGAAACCAGCCTATATATTTTCTTGACCTATATATAAAGCTCAGAAATATAAATGTAATGTATATTTTACACGACGGTACCCTTTAGCTCAATAACAATAATAAAATTAGTTCTAGTAGAACTTGTTGTAATTGTTGAAAAATCTTTATCCTAAAATATAAAGATAATTCTCTCCTTTAAGGCTTTTTGCATGCTCATTTTTTCTTTCTTTTTTCATAGTTTTGACAGCCTCATTACGCTTTATTAAACCCTTCTGAATTAAGTTTCCAAAAGTGACCAAAAGTGACATTTTAGGCTCACAAACAACACCCACATCTGTTGGATGTTTTATACGTCTCATATGATACTACTACTTCGTATAAAAACAATACGATCCCTTAGAGGATCCATATGTCTAATGTTACTGTAATGTAATTCGCGTCCGATGTTATTTGCTTAAGTTTTCAGGGTTTTTTTTGGTTCTACATTTCTGACACAACGTTAGAGAAATAGACAAAATTATTTTGGCAGGACTTGTTATGACCAGGTTGCGTGGGTGCACTTTTAAATCTTTACCAAGCCCGGGATACGCTTACTGTTACTTCGTTCACATACATTTGCGTGGTTAGTATCGAAATGATGGTCCCACTGTTAAGGCCATCTTTTGGTGAGCTTTGTTACCTTTTAATTATCACCAGTTTTGTAATACCTGTCACCAGTAAAACACCAGTCTTTAAAAATGAACGAAAAGTGATTGTTTTTAGACACAGTTATTAGTAAATGAAAATAAATTCCCTTTCCCCCTTAGTTGCGATGCTTGACTCATTTGCAGAAGGCCAGATTTAGATTTCTTAGCTTATCGAGATGAGAATTAGAAAATGGGTAGCTCAAGACTCCACCACACTGAGAAATTTGTCAACGTCCAATACGATCCGTACACTTTGATTTGATTTACACAAATTCGAACTTCAAATATGTTGACCCTACCACACCAGAAGCGTATCTGGTTGGACCAATTATACGTACAATGTAGAGGCTCAAATAATAGTTTCCTCAAAGAAAGATGTAACATTTACAGTTGCTGCTCATTTACTATGAAGTAAAAAGAAGGAAACTACATCCTTTAGCCCTTCATTTATAACCGATGGACGGATAGTTATGCATAAGTGCTACACATCTACGTGTGAATGTGAACAAGTGCTGTTTGTGGACGACAAGCATTGGTTGCAACGCAGAGAAGTTGCAGATTGAAGTACGCTGCCTTAAAAGTAAGACACGCTAACCAGTCTTTACTTAAATTAGACATTCTGTTTCCGAAGCAATAGCAAGTTCTTTTCATCAGAGTTGCTACACAAAAGAAAAATCTATCCAACTATTGACAGCTAGTAGAATTAAGTTTTGTAATGGCCTAGCAAAATCATTACGTGGGTCTTATTTACCAAAATGTTGGAGTTAGTCGATTTCGGCATGGGTTGTTTAAAACGAATTAAGCAGGCCTTTTTAAAAAAAAGAAAGTTGTTTTTATGATGGCTAACTGCTATATGCCTACTAACTAAACTAGTAACATTGACTTTTTTGCTTTAAATCACTACCTGTGTTTTATTCACTCTTCAATTATTGCGCTTTAACATTAACTGACCTTTAGTTAACCATTGAAACCTGATGGGAACATGTAGAAGTTACTTCGTTTAAGCAACAACACTACTATGCTGCACGCATAGACCTATTATTACTTAGCTCAGAACAATGTAATAAACAATTGCATATGGAGCGCTTCCAACAAAACGCTCTAAGCTCACATTGGCTAAAATGAAGAAATTTGACCTTTTTACATAGATCTAGTCTTCATTGTGCTAGCATTATTACCGATATAAACTGCAATGTTAGGCTGGCTTTGGCATTTCTAAGTCTTCTGTAAAGGTTTTGCGGTAGCAGTGTATTTTAAAATGTATTTAGGCCTTTTTGACACACACAGAGAGTTCCAGACTTGCTTACGTCTGCTGCTTTTTTAGTCAACACTTATGTTGGAAATTTCCGAGATACATTATCATATTACCAAAATGTATTAGGAAGATTCAGGAAATCTATATAACTTAGAACCGAAATAATATGTGTTATTTTGAATAGTCTTTAGCGGCCTTGTTTTTAGCCCACAGGTGAATGATTTCAAATATCTGCATAACTGTAAATTGCCAGGAATGGACGAAATTTAACACGAGTATCTATGGCAGGACAAAGGTACCGTATTCAATGGCACTTTTTAACATATGTTTTCCATCTAGAGGCGTTGATAAGATCCGAAGTGGAAATGTTCTTTTAGCATCCCAATTACTTAACGAACTATATATGTTAAGCCGCTTGCCAAATGGAACTAAAGCACAATGAAGAACTACATTTTGAAACACATTTAACGAAACGCCACGCGAAGGCGCGCTTCGTGTAGTTCATTTCAATACGGATGAATTCCGTTAACCGTTCCGTAACCGTCATCGTGTTCGATAAACCTCAGCACTGAGCTCTTGCCTGAAAACACAAATGAACTGAAAATAGTTGGATTAGTAAATTGCTTCCTACAGAAAAATCATAATAGACAGTCAAATGTGCACAAAGACATTGTGGCGATCTATTAAATCATTGTTTGGACAGTCACTGCTTTAGACGGTATCAAAACCAATCAAATGAATCCTAGACAAAAACAAATATTACTAGCAATTTATCATCGGACTAAAACGAATGTTTCTACCTTTTTTTTTTTTTTTTTTTTTCTGTAG